AAATAATTTTATTCGGGCATTAAAAAGAGGTTATGGTGGTATTGGAGGTAGGACACAATGGTTACTTTTATGCCAATAGTGGTCATATCATTCATTTTTCTGGAGCCAATATGTCGGGAGTCATTTTGTCAAAAGCCAATATGTCGGGAGCCCAATTGCCGGGAGCCAATATGTCGGGAGCCCATTTGTCGGTAGCCAAAATGTCGTGAGCCCATTTGCCGGGAGCCCATTTGTCTTGAGCCCTTATGTCGGGAGCCAATATGTCCTGAGCCTATTTGTCAGGGGTTAATATGTCGGGAGTCCATTTGTCGGGAGCCTAAATGTCGGGAGCCCATTTGTCGGGAGCCTATATGTCGCAAGTCTAGTGTAGTTTAACCGTTGAATCAAGTTGTACCCCTGCCCCCTGTGCTGATCGCCTAATCAACAGACCTCAGGTGCTAACATAACCGCTTGAGACCTATGGGCAATCGAAATCTCCTGCTACAGAAAACCTTCCCGTTAGTATTATCAGCAATTTCCCGAAGTTTTTTGGCAACCGGATGAAAGGTGTGGTAAAGCATAAAAGACAGACAGACTGATTAACATTTATATGTATAGATATAGAGATACAGATTTTTTATGGTTTCATTTTAATATTTACAAATATTTCTTTAAACCTATTTCAATTTGAATTTGAATTTGATTATACTTTTGTCTTAGCATGTAGGCCTAATCAGTTGCTTTCATTTACATGCATGAATTGTCATAACTTATTTTTAAAAATGCTTTGTCATTTTTGAAACGCCATATTTAATTATAATCACTACTTTTTATTACATTTCACCTTAGCCTTTCATGGCATATTGTTCACATTTAATTCTCGCTTGCTTCAATGTTAAAATTTCGCCTATCATTGCCTATATTTTCTTTTGTATTATCGATAGTTTAAATATTATTTAAAAATTTTCTGTTATAGAAATGTACACTTTAAATTTTTTCCAAGCAGTTTTGTAAAATTTTTGAACCACTGTTTTATTTAACATAGTAAAATTCGGTTTCACTGTAAAACCGCGCACGCTTAGCACATTTGAACGCCACACCCACTTTCTCTAGTTTACTTCCTTGTATAACAGTGTTCATCTGACATAGTTGTTAATCACAACCTGATATGATGTACACGTAGGTTCCAGGGGCGGAACTACAGTACCGCCAGACCCCGCAATGCGGGGGGGCCCGGGCCATTTAGGGGCCCACAGCCGACCATAATCAATTTATTTTTTTAGTTAAAAAAAAATCTTGATACATAAAATAATTAGTTGGCCCTTAACTGTGGGTCGTCGTCCGCTGAAAACTCTTGTTTCTCTTCACATCGAGTAAATCTTTCGCCTTTTACTAAAGATTTCCGATCATGTCATCTCCTAGAGAACTGACTTATGCAAATATAGTCCACGTCACCACAGGGGTTGCGCCCTCGGATGTTCCCCCTGGGTCGAGAGACTTGGGGAGGAGCCACCCGGACTACGGTTCGGGTGGCTTAATGAAATCCAGGGCCCAACCCTTTTCAGCCACAACCGCCATCCTGAACTTACCTGATCAAGAATGTCCGGAACTCTACACTGCTGATTCGCCAACCATTCAAGTAACCATCCACTCAACAGGACAACCCAACCTGAGAGGACACATCCTACGTCAGCTTATTAGCGACCAACAAATCCTGCTCCTCAATTATGGAAGAGCAGATACGTGGTATTTCTCTTCGATCACCTTTGACGTCACCAAGCTTCACAATACCCACAAAACATACGGCCCCTACACACTATACTTCTCACTACATGAAAAAGACAAAATAAACGGTACCCTTAGATGGGTCCCACCCACACTCAGCGATCACACACTCATACAAGCACTACAGCCTTACAGCAACAAACAACCAATCATAAACACAATTCCTCACACCAATAACCGCAACTTTTCCATATACACTGACAGTCCAGCAACCATCCCCCACTACATACAAATAAATTACAAAAACAAATCACTCAACATTCTAATAGCCATCAAAGACAGAAAGCAAGCCTGCCAAACCTGCGCATCTACATCGCATTGGACCAATCAATGCCATGTCCTCAACCCAGAGACAATGCCCAGGAATCAACCATCAACACAAACAGCGGCACCACCTACTCCACAACCTCCCATGCCAGGCAGTCACCAAAATTCTCCCATCAAGGACATACCATCAAACCCCAAAACACCGCCCAAAAAACAGCCACCAGCACAAAAACCAGCGCCACTCGCCCAGCCAGCACCAATACCTAGCAGCCAACAAGCAAACACAGCCATCGAACCAACAACCCCAAGGACAAACACAACGGATCCAACAACCATCAAATCAACTACATCAAAAATACTCTTACCAGATTTTGCATCACCACTCGCGCTGAGCCAGAACACTTTTACGTTCACAACGACGCCAAACTCTACCAACCCCAATCAAAATGTAAATATGAGTGACAGCACAAGCTCAAAAAGGAAAAAGAAAGTTAGCCCCACAGAAGAAAAGAAAATAACAAAAAGTAAAAAATTATTTCATGACTTCAAACACTGCAGGTTCTGCTTAGAACAATGTAGATCATCCAGGGAAAGGGAAAAGCACGAACGAGAAATCCACTACAGATGCTTACAGTGTGGTCTTTGTGCAGACAAAGGGTACTACCCAGACATATACACACACTTTGCAGAAAACCATCAAGAAGAAACGATGTATGACTGTAGAGATTGTAACTTATCCCTCCCACTAGAGAGCATGAGGGCACATACAAGTGTACACCATAAGAAAAAATAGGTATCTCAGACGTTTTGTAAACGCTTATGTATAATTGAATGCAATGCCATGTAATGAACTATTTAAATATTTCATGTATATAATCATGCAACCTTCTCTTACTGCCTCCCTGCGCGAAAAGGGTAGACAGTAAGTAAGGAAATCTATTAAACGCCAGACGGCAAAAAAAAAAAAAAAAAAAAAAAAAAAAAAAAAAAAAAAAAAAAAAAAAAAAAATAGCACTCACACACACAGAGTGGATAGTGAGACTGATCTTCGATTTTACGCTGTTTACGATTGTCACTATTAAAAAAAAAAATAGCACTCACAGAATTGTGACGTGTTCTTGTAACTTGTTTTAATTAAAAAAAAAAAAAATTTTGTATTTTTAATTAAAAAAAAAAATCGAACAATCCCGAAATGAGTACTGTGTTGGTATTTTCGTATTTTGTTTATATACAAAGGCACACACACACACACACACACACACACATATATATATATATATATATATATATATATATATATATATATATATATATATATATATATATATATATATATATATATATATATATATATATATATATATATAGATGGGGCCCAAAAAATTTTCTTTGCGGGGTGGCCCTTTTTTTCTAGTTCCGCCACTGGTAGGTTCCAGATGTAGTGACCACACAGAATGGACAGACCGCGTGAAACACAGAACAACGTTCACGTAACGGGGAGACAAATGGAAATTTGCTCTTTGGCATCTAACTTTGCTACTACAGTTGTCCCGTTATTCAGCCCGTCCGCTGTGGTAGTCACAGGGGCTTGAAATGTACGCATTGTATTCTGTATTCATTTAATTTTTTAATAATTTTTATTATTATATATTATCTATGTTGTAACATTTGTAAAATCGAGTATAATAAACGCTGTTATACCCTTACTTGATCTCGGTAATTGTATTCATTTATTTTAATTCATAGTAAAATATTATGTTTAAAACGTATCATACATGCTATACATGATCATCTAAAAGAAGAAGATATATTCTCAATTGTCTATTACAAGTAGACAAGTTAAGCAGACTCTCCTACAAGTGGAAGACTATTACATTTCACGCTGTAAGGTAGTTTAAGATCGATATTAGTATCACCCTTGATATATACGTTGTAGTATATTATTGACTGCGTTTCATAAAATATATATTACTAGAGGCCTATATTTCAAACATTGTCACAAAAAAACACAAACATTGGCTCAGTTTTTAAAATCTACTACGTAGAAAACGTAAACACTTAACAGGCCTAAAATTTAACAGCCGGCACCAATGGCCCGTCGTTACACGTCCTACATTGTCGCCCCCAACTTCACGCTCAACTGTTTTAAGGGAATGGGGTTGCGTGAGGGCGGAGTTCCTAACCTATAACTAGTATAACATAGTCACATGTGCTACTCATGTGCACTGTTCGATCAATTCAAAACTATTTAAAAATGTTCAAATACATATGGATGGTAAATTTTACGGCTGCTAACGCGAAAGTCTCGAGTCGCATCCATGGCTTGAATCAGTTTGAAGCTACTGAGTTTACCCAACCCGTATTGATACCTGACTTACGCTAGTAAAATTCTTGGGCTAGACGTACTAATGTATCCATTGCCCCAACCACCCCCACTCCTCCTTTTGCGTGTAGACGGCAAAGGATGGAGATAAAGCACAGGGTCTATGTGGATGGATGTGCGTAATGTTTGGATCAATCGCAAGCATTTCCATGCTTATTTTTCCGACATTGGCAGTGTTTCCAAGTTTATTAAGGACAGAATATTGACTTGGTGTCCCAGATTAAATCAATATTTGCGCGGTGGTCCTAAAATAATGCAACGCTCAAGCGAGCTGCTTTTAAAACCTTGCTATTATTATTTTAGTACGGTGTAAATATTATAAAAATGTACTACTTGAATCACTGAACAGAACACAAACTAAACACAACACAACACACACAAAATACATTACACAAAACAAACACACAGTAAAAAAAATACATAACCTGTATTGTAACCCCGTTACATTATTTTAAAAAGGGTTTAATGGGAGCGAACTCTGAATGAAAATAATCACTTTTTAATACAATTATGTATACACAGTCTTTATGAGTATATTTGATAAAAAACCTTTTCTATTGAAAATTTAGCATTAAAGTAACTATTTTAGAGATTTTTGAAACAAACTTTGTCTGATTTCCAAATTAGAAAAATTACTAAAATATACAATAGATGCATGAAGAAAGCTCACGACAAAGTAAATTGATTTAAATACACTCTATGTACATTCATGCCAAACTAAACCTTACATAGCACCGCTTCTATTACAAAATGTTTTATTTCTCCTGAGTAACATATGACTATACAATATTTTTCAATTTTAAAGTACTTTTTGTATTTCAAAACATTATTGTGTTTGCATTATTTGTTAATTGTTGGATTCTTTATAAATTTAGTTTTATAACATAAAACTGTCGGTAAGATCATTGTACTGCTGACCGCATATTTTTAATACTTGTAAAACAATTTTAAGAGAGCTTCACCTGTTTGAAAGAAAAAAAATTCAACAACTAGTTATCATTTTTTTCTGCAGTTTTACGATTCAATTATTTTTTTTGCAGTTTTACATTTGTGCTCTAGATATATATTTTTTCTAATATGTAAATTACATTTACTCAATGAATGTGATTATTTATTTCATCAGTGTGGCATTGGAGACTCATTATTCATCATTTAAATTTAAATACATTTGTGACTGTCCATATTCAGTAGAAGCGCAGAAGCTAAATTGGAACGATATTTTAATCCTCCTTGCTTTTTAACAAGGCGAAGTGAAGTATGCCTTAGATGATTCAAAATCATTTACATAATTTACATAATATAAAATGTACAATGGAAATATATGTTGACAATTACAAATTCATTGAGTCATGTTTAAATCTTTACAACGCATCAAATCATCACATTATGGTATTATTCTAGGTAAACTAAAAGGAGTTTTGAGAAAACGTAGTGACATTCTCATTATTCTCATTGCTACTTCTCACATAATGAACAATGCAAATCCACTAAAACATATGATATAAAGATGAGCGATAACTAGATAACGAGTTAAAACATTATTTCTTTGGGTGGCTGAATACAAAATTTCTATTGTATCCCTATCCCTTACTATCCAAACATTTATTATTATCCTATTTTTAAATATTTCCATATCTTGAACCCTAACCCTATTTGTTTTTTTGGTCAATTAGTGATCGATCTGGAGGTTAATGTTTTTATCTCAAGTTGTTTTTTTTAAGTTGGTCTCGGGAAGGTGGGTAATGTACACGGTTGTAATTCATTACACGGTCAATGACAAAGATAAGTTGACTTGAGGAGGGTAATATCCTGCTCTAACACAAGCACTGTTCATACAATCACATACTAAATTAAATGAAGTGTTTTTAAAAGTAACAGTTAACACTAAAATGCTAATTCAACTGTTCCAAAAACGATCACATTTACTTTATAGATAGTTTTTTAATATGTATTTGCATTATTCAATCTCTTCAATCTCGTTAGTAAGTTCATATGGGTCAATAACATCAAGGTAAATGTTATCCTCAATAACATCAAGGTAAATGTTATCCTCTTCCTCTGCTACAACTCCTTCTATACTTTTTGTTTCCATACCTTTTTTTCTATGCAATAAGTTTTGTGATACTGTGGAAGAAACAAACATCCCTATAAAAAAAAGAATAGACCATAAATATAAATACCTAATTTTGATACGGTCTAGCTTAGGTTTTGAATAATAAATAATTGTATTGTTCTACAATCAAAAATTATAATTGACGATTTCTACAAAAGACATGAAGGGAATATGGGCGTTGTTTTTTTTTTGTTTTTTTTTTTAATTTTTACAATTAAAGATCTAAAGTCTTTAGACTACTTTACCAAGTTTAGCACAAGAAAGTAAGTATGAAACAGCTAAAAAGGGGTTTAAAAATTTTAGTTGTCACGGAAAATCGAAAAACGTCCGCCATTTTGAAATTTTTGGTACTTTAAAAATGCTAAAGCTTTTTTATGTGTGCACTTACAGCAATCACGTTTACACTTCTTATATTTCAGTATATATTAAAACTTAAGTAACGACAACTTTTCTGATAGAGCTACTCTTCAGAATTCTACAAGGTCCGAAAATTTTGCATTTTTAGTATGCGAAAGCTGATATATTGTATATATTTTTTTAACATAAACCTTGTTTTCTTTTTCTTTTTTTTTTTTTTTTAAAAAAGCCATTACGATTCTCCTGTGAAAAGTTGTATTAATACATGTACAACAAATACAGAAAATATGAAGGGAAATATTTTAAAAATAATAAAAAAGTAGTAGGTATTCTAGAGCTAAAACATTGCGAAATGAGAAAAATCAAGGTTTTGGTTATTTTTTTCTGCGCAAATCCCTTTAAAAACTGTATTTATTCATATTAAAATTACAGTATTATAAGCATTGAACATTATTTCTAGTAACAACTATTTAAAAATGTAATAACCTACTTTTGTTTTTGAAAATCCAGATGCCACAGATAAGAATCAAGGTCACTAAACTTACTCCCAGTCCAATTACTATGTTTAAAAATGATTCAAAATAACTCTCTGAAAAAAAAGTAAATTTGGCAGATATAATTTTTTAATTTCTAATTATTGGTCTAAAGAATGGAAGAAAAATCATACAAAAATGAAGGTGTTTAATAATGTATTATTCAGGAAAAATTAAAATAGCCTGAAAAAATATGTCGAAAAGTAGAGCTATTCAGACACTTATATTTACAGCAGCCTACAGTTGTGCCAATATATTCTTAAGAATAAATATTTTGTTTTCTATATTTAAGCATTGTACAAGATCATTTATCAATGTACAAAACAATAATATTAAATCATTGTTTGTTTAAAAGAAAACTGTGTTGTCTATGTATACATAATATAACAGTTCTTCAAGAATAAATTAAATTTAAAAAAAAAACAGCGCACCATCAAACAAATTTATAAAGAAAAACATGTTGAAAATTGATGAATTACTTTTATTTATTTAATGTATGCTATTTTCTAAACAATTCGATTTAATATGATCATTAGTAAACTTTGGGTTCAGATTCTTTACATAACTATAATTGGTTATATTTACCTCTATTAATGTACACTGACCATAAAATACTATATGACTATTGCGTATGAGTTGTAAATTGAAATGTTATAATATAATAATAAAATAAAACGAATTAAGTGAATTTATTTTCAACAATTTAAATACGAATAAAGAAATTCATTTGTCTTAATATATTTTGTCCTAAGATCTTTTGTCCGTGAGATAATTTATCCTTAAGATTATTTTTCCTGAAATCATTTATCCTGAGACAATTTGGCCGTGTTATATTCTGTCTGGGATATTTTGTCTGAGATAATTTTTCCTGAGATTATTTTTTATGGAACCCTTTTTGGATTTCTGTAAATGCTTTAATTAAAGAAAATTGAAATGAGATATACTGTTATTTATATACATGTGATTAAAGCAATTGTATTACCATCTAATTTCAATTCCATATTCATTGTTTCTATTACTGTTCAAAATATTAGACTGCAGATTTACGAGTTTTAAGAAAAGAGGGGCAATAAAGAGAACGGAAAGAGTTACCAATTGCATGTATATGCTGCTATTCAAAATAATTTATTTTTTCTCTTCAAATTGAGTCTTCGACGAATAGGCGCAACAATTATTTGTAAAGAGAAAATACTGGATATAAAAGATTGGAGGGACAGAAAGTGTTATATTATTTTTTGCCATAAATAAAACCAAGTTTGTGAAAAAAAAATATTTTGAGACAATAATATGAACACTGTTAATAATTAGTGTATATTTTTTTCGTATTTTAGAATAGGGTTACTTAAACAATTAATTTTACACTCATAGACATTCGTTTGGCTTTTAAAACTTTCTAGGAAAAAAAACATTGTATTAATTTCTACATATTAAATTTTCTGTTATAAGACGTCTGTTGTCCGTGCTATTTCTTTATGCATTTACTAACCGAAGCCAACTTACCTCCTTTAATAGAAAAGTTATAAACAAGACTTCGCCCATTTCCATTACCAATATGTAGATTCATTTCTGTGAAATCTGAGTTCTGTAGTTCTTTGAAGGTTAAAAGAACAACCCCATGTGCTGATATGTTACGAACAAACTCAATTGAATAGAGAGAATTATTGTGAGTTTCTGAATTTCCATTCCTAATAAAAACGTGTGTTTTATTTTTAACAAGCATATACTGTGTGGGTTTTGGGTAGCCATACACTTCTATCGTAATTATAATTTTGTTTTGTTTTCTTCCATAATAAACTGTATTATTTTTTTCAGGGTGGGTCAAATGAAAAGGGCCTGAAATATGACATTAATTGATTAAAAAATGGAAAAAAATGTATCTATACATTATATGGAAAAGTGTAATTTAATTATTAAATGTATATATTTCTGAAGAGACGTTAGATTTTTAACTAAAATGCAATTAACATTATATAACATACACTTACTTATATGTCTAACATTAAGTGAAGCAATTTATTTGGTCATAAATATTTTAACAATTGTATTCAGTTTTAGTCATGTTTGGTAAGTAGCTTTTAAATCTTGCTATCGGGTAAATTGTTTACACTTACAAAGAACATAAATTTGCACACTTCTGATGATCTCGTCTTTTGTAAAATTTGCAATACACGAATACAATCCTGTATCTTTACATTCACTATTTTTTTTCCAATGTAGAAATTTGCTATTTGCACTTTGTAATAAGAAATGGTTTATTTCATCTTTAATAAGCTTTAACTGTTGGAATGAGGTTCCTTTGGCTTCACAGGCAAAGTTCAGAACTTCGGATTTATTTACAATCAAAGTATTTACATTTTCACCGTTCACCAAGAAACTCTGGATCGTTGGTGGATCTATAAAATACAGTGAATGTTGGAAATATATATTTGATTTTACATTGTAAAGAAATAAAAAAACAGTGTATTAGCTGTAGCTATCTACTATAATATTTTAACCTATTTCGGGATAATATTTTTAATTTGTATGCAATTACGTAATTAATATTTTGGAAAAGGCTACATATTATCCGGGATAATATTTTTAATTTGTAGGCAATTACGTAATTAATGTTTTGGAAACAGCTACACATTATCCATTAATGAAAATGCCGTCCTTTTTTATCAAAATCGGTTTAGTATAAAAGATAAATAAATAAAAATGGAAGGGAGGATTAGCAAAATTATATCAGTATAAATATTACAGTATTTCAGCCAAACTGTTCCAAAACGCTAAAACAGATTAGCAAAAAACAGGGAAACGTGACTAAAATTAGATGAACTTTAATACCTACAACTTATTTGCAAAAGTATTAAAGACATTTTCTTAAAAGTAATAACCCTGTGAATAACTAATTAAAAACAGGTTACTGAACTTTACCGATTTTGACCACATGACCACACTGTCGTTTTATACAAAATACTTCAGAAACATTACAATAATTATAAAATCAATTGAGCATAAAAAAGTGTTGCATGCGATTTTGATAAATGCTAATTTATAAAAAAAAACAATACTCACATAAAACATTTATTAGAACGAATGTGCTGTTACTTTCATAAAGTACTCGTTCATGCGATGCTTCGCATTTGCAAAGTACGCTATTTCGTATTCTTGAAATGTTTAGTACATTAACTCCGTTATTCAAACTAAGAAGAGGTTGATCACACTCTAATTTTAGAGTTGATGTTGTTTCGTTAATTAGACATCGTATGCTGTATAAACCTTCATCTAAGTTAAAATATTTTGAATTAAGTGAGCTGTAGTAAGGTTTGAATTTGCTATTTAATTTCTCCAATTCAATAACAGGTTCTGGTACCGTTTCTGTAAATATAGCAGGTGAATATCAAACATATTTTACCATGATGTTAGGATTATAAAAATTGAATGTATAAAATGATTTAGTGTTTTTAAATGTATATTCGCAAAATTTGCAGTAAATTTCTTTTTTAATTAGCAAACAGTTTACCGAACACTTAGAAAACATTTTAAATCATTTATTTATCCAATACAAGCTGAATTTTTGCACTCACAGTACACCACAAAAAAAAGTCTTTATAAATAATCAAATTTGGCGATCTATCGGCGAATTTTATATTGAAAACTAGTTTATCGCACGTTCATGCATTCTAAGAAGAACATAAACGTATTGTTCACTTTCATCATATGGGAACAATTTCAAACTCTCAGATATTCTTTTATAACAGAAAGGTGGGTTGCATTTTTTTGTGCAATCGGGTGTTATGCTCAGCTTCTCATTTCATAGTGGAACCAGGTATAACACAAATTAAAACACAGTTCAAATGTAATAGTCCAATATAATTTTCAACTTCTACAGGGGAACACTGAACATTGACACCAAACCACTGCCTACTTGCTACGCTCTACACCACACACCACTTACACACTACAGTTCACACACTTCTTTCTTCGCTTGCACACCACTACAAGCGGAGGCCACTCTCACACACACTTTATATAAACATCTACATCTCACGGGTTATAGAAATAAACAAGTTTGTTATAAAACCAAACATTTGGGGTTTTTTTTTGTTGAGAAAACACATAGAAATGAAATTTAGAAAAATATGCTTCATAAGTATTACATTGAATGCTCATGGTTCTGTAACATTTTGAAAGATTTCCGGTAATAGGAAGTGGTAGGCCTACTTTATTTCCGTTACAACATTATAAGTGGAATACTGTTTTTAGTAAGGTAGATTGCTTACAATTCTTGTGTGAACTCCGATAATCGGCAGTGGAACTTTACTCTATTTCTGGATTCTAAAAGACCGATAACTTAAGTTAGGTGATATATATATATATATATATATATATATATATATATATATATATATATATATATATATATATATATATATATATATATATATATGAAAAGAAGTATTCCTTTGCGATATTTCTGATTTGTGAAAATAAAATATTACTTCTACTGGGCCGAATTCTTTAAAACTTTTTTTTCTGTAGGTCTAGACTCGATAACAATGTATTGTGGCATAACCTTCTGAAAGTTAATTATTATTCCCTGTATAAAGTTCTAATTCTCCACTCTATTATACATACATTGTTTTTTTTTTCTGACGCGATTCTTTTCTTCTATATAAATGGCCCGTTGAGGGGGAGATACAACCAAAATCATCACATCAACTTCAAATTTAAGCGAAACGAAAAATATAATTGAAAACGGACGTTCTTTTGGGGCTCCTGCCCCCCCCCCCCTCCCCTCCCTCCCCTGCAGAGTTGCCTGAAAGAAACTCTAAATGCGAGTTTTGTCAAGTTCGAGCTAAGATGCTAGGTTTAGGGGTATGACTACGACTACATTTGGTATGAATGTGCAGTAATGTGTAGAACAATGTTAAATCGGGTAAAATGCTGATTCTGTATAAAAATCCGTTTTCAATTACATTTTTGACTTCTGTTAAATTTGAATTTAAGATGGGGCTTTTGGTTTTGATTTCGGTTTTGAGAAAAAGGCAAAACCATTTACATAGGACCAATATAATCTATAAATATATATAAAGAAATGTGTGTGTCTGTGTGTGTCTGTGTCTGTGTTTGTCTGTCTTTTGTGCACTACTGCACCTTTCATCACATCGCCATGAAGCTTTGGGAATTTGTTGAGAATACTCCTGGGGAGGTTTCTGCGAAAAAGAACACTTTTCAATTACGCGATTCCTCGGCAGAGAGCAATTTAGCACCCTGGATTATGGTGCCTACGTTTGTTTTAAACAGCGCAATAGCCTATGGATACAATAGGGCATTATATTCTTTCACTAAAGTGAATCAGGCGCGTCCGCCAACGTCCTCGTAGGGTGCAATTTGCCCCAGGCTATCCTCAGACTTTCTTCTAACCCCACGGCAACACGAGGGGACGGGCCCGCTAGTAGTATACGAGAAAGTTTAGGGGAGATCGTTTTACGTTTTACACCTCCCTGAGTCGGAACAACATAGTTTTACAATTTTATCAGTATGTCTGTGTATGTGTGTATGTGTGTGTGTATGTCTGTGAATACAATAACTTAAGAACCGTTACATATATGATGAAATTTTATACATTAGTATTATATCAAATGTGTAGATCTGTCTCAACTTTTTAGCCATTTCCGGTTACCGAAAGTGGAACTTATTCTACTTTCAATTTTTCAAAAGCCTATAACTTCAGTATCATGTCTGTAAGATAAATAAAATTTCACATGTAAGTAAAACAATAAACTCTGCTTTCTGACAAAATTTGAATAATTTCCGTTGATCGGAAGTAGAAATTTACGCTATCTCCCATTTCTAAAAAAAGCATATGAATTTATAAAGTATTCCGCACTTATATACACATATTGTTTGCCGTTCACTTGGTGTGTAATTATTATTGGTTTTATGAGATTCTATTGTAGTGTTTCTTCCAGACTTTTTTCTCCGAGGGTGCACTTGAAATTTTCGGCGGGGGGGGGGGGGGCGGACAACATTTTTCGGGGGGGGGGGGGGGGGCGGACGCTGCAAAAGTATATATTTTCAATATAAATTCCATTTCGTTCGGAGAGGCGGTAGACTTTCTTCGCCCCCCCCCCCCCCAAGAGATGCCTGGGAGAAACTCTGTTCTATTCTAGTTTTAAAAAGTCTAAGTATGTAAAGACTGAATAAAAATCATGTCTATATCCCGAGTTGCCATCCTCGTAATGTTATATAAGATTATTCGAGAAAATTTCTGGGAAATCATTCCATTTTATTATGTATCCTTGATGCAACATTTAACTGCTATGCATATTCCATTGTCAATAAAAATATTTTTTTTTTTTTTGAAAATTAGTATACATTTTAAAATTAGATAGTTTACTTGGTTTAAGAAAGCTATTTTGTAATATTACAAAAATGTATAATTGATCTAGCACATGTTTGACAACATGACGCTATATGGAGTGGTTCAATATTCTGTTAAATAATGTGGGTTACGGAATAAAGTAGTTGAATAGTTTATTTAAGTTGAAGTTTTAGCTGTAATTTTACACTATTTCCGATAAAAGAACTGTCGTGTGATCGACATGAAATTACTGGATTAAACTTTGAATAATTAACATAAATGAAGCAACACATTTTTATTTTATTTCAGGGTAGCAAAAGTCTCTGTAATGGTAAATTCCAAATTATTTTTTTATCACAACATATATAATATGTATAACATGTGCATTTTGGTGTGAATATTATAGAGCTTTGAAGGTGGTTTTCCTAAAAAAATATATACAGTATATGTGGTCATACGTTTTGTAACACAAAATGATTCCTATATATATATATATATATATATATATATATATATATATATATATATATATATATATATATATATTTATATATATATGTATATATATATATATATATATATATATATATATATATATATATATATATATATATATATGAAGAGTTGATTTTCAAAATGCAATATATCCAAAATTTGGGTTTCGAGAAAATCGCACTTTTCTCCTACACGAAGCCATTGTACAATATGCTAAAACTGTTTATCAATTTAGGTTCATAACCCTCATATAAATAGGACTAGAATGGTTTTTAAAATGTACCTGCATAAAAAGATGCTTTTTTTTGGTCCCAAAATTTGCGTTTCGTTGCAAAATGAGGTATATCCAGCTTTTGTTAAGCTACAAAACGCTGTATATCCATTTTTTTTTCTAATAATACATCTGATGTCCAATATTTTAGTTTATTATTTTATTAAGACCCACTTATATTCCCAGTGTTATCATCTCACTACAATTGTACCATGTTTTTCTGTTACTTTAAAGTGTTTTTAGTGAGTAATTTCAGTTATTTGAAAATTTTTCAAAAATGATGCAAGTCTCTAACGAGAGACTTTAATTTGAAGAGTACAGCTTGTCTTTAGGTTCATAACCCTCATATACATAGGACTAGAATGGTTTTTGAAATGTACCTGCATAAAAAGATGCTTTTTTTGGTCCCAAAATTTGCGTTTCGTTGCAAAATGAGGTATATCCAGCTTTTGTTAAGCTACAAAACGCTGTATATCCATTTTTTTTCTAATAATACATCTGATGTCCAATATTTTAGTTTATTATTTTATTAAGACCCACTTATATTCCCAGTGTTATCATCTCACTACAATTGTACCATGTTTTTCTGTTACTTTAAAGTGTTTTTAGTGAGTAATTTCAGTTATTTGAAAATTTTTCAAAAATGATGCAAGTCTCTAACGAGAGACTTTAATTTGAAGAGTACAGCTTGTTTTTAGGTTCATAACCCTCATATAAATAGGACTAGAATGGTTTTTGAAATGTACCTGCATAAAAAGATGCTTTTTTTTGTCCCAAAATTTGCGTTTCGTTGCAAAATGAGGTATATCCAGCTTTTGTTAAGCTACAAAATAGAAATAAAATGAAAATTTTGCGCCGTGAAGATTAAAATTAAGTTTTCCTAATAGTAACTGAGTAGCTTTACAATATGGGCACGTTATCTCATTTTTTTTCAAAAATGGCGCTTATCGCGTTTTGAAAATCAACTCTTCATATATATATACATATACATATATATATGCAATATAATTATTGTATTTACCTAAAGTATAAAAGTGTGAGATACTTTTTCCGAACAACGTGTCTTTCGCGGTGTTAGTCACATTAGGATATAGGTTGATATTGAACACATACTGGCCTTTGTTGATCTCATATATTTTTAGTCTGCAATCAGAGTCGAAATAAACTGGATTGTTATAGGGCTGCCTATGTGTACATTCAAAATTTTGATGTTGCAGACTTTTCATCGGTTTCTGAAAAAGATTTACAATGATGAATTTCTTTCATATTTATTTATTTCCATACTCATATTATATATAGTACAAATATATTTAATAAGTTATGTAATATGTTCGAAAATAAAATAATTATCAAGAATGATTAAATTATATTTGCTAAAAGCACTATCTCAATTGCAATAGCATATTTTTGTAACATTTCTTTGAAAACTTACTGTGCTGTCGACCTACTTTGGTAAGTCAAACTTACTCAAAAAACAATTAAAGATTTGATGATCTAACAAAAAAACAAATTAATACACAACTCACTCCATTAACTGAAACAGACACAGTGCCTCTAACAGTAGGGTATCTCCTGTGAGTTTTACATTGCAGCATTATATGATCTTTCAACTCTAACAATTGACAGTCTAGATGATTTACTTTTTCTGAAAACATTCAATTCCACGTTATTACACAGATTCTCAATTTATCAAATATATATATATATATATATATATATATATATATATATATAAATATATATATATATATATGTATGTATATATATATATATATATATATATATATATATATATATATATATATATATATATATATATATATATATATCTTTATATGTTGTAGTTTAAAACTTGCAATAAAACCACTCCCTAAATTTTTTGTAAACAACATACTGTAAACGTTCAAAAAACACGAAAACACAGTAGATTTTTCTTCTTTTCTTGGAGTAAATGTTGACATTTGTAGCAACCAGGTCCCTTCAGAATTTTTCCAAGGATTCAGTCTCGTTACATTAAAGATGTTCAATTCAACAGACAATACATTGTTGTGGTGCGTTATGAAGCTCTTAAACCAATTTGTTTGGGGATCATTTATGCAGTTTTCATTAACGTAACAATCTGATACCACTTCATTGTTTAAATTCCATATAAATCTCTGGGTTTTAGAAGTCAGTGTTACATTAAAGGTCTTTGATAATTTCCAGTTAGTGTTCTCCTCAACTGGTTCACAAGATTTAATTTCTGAAGAATATATAAATTCCAGATAGGGTTATTTTAAAAATTCCTAATCAATTACTTCAAATATATATATATATATATATATATATATATATATATATATATATATATATATATATATATATATATATATATATATATATATATATATATATATGTATATGTATATATATATATATATATATATATATATATATATATATATATATATATATATATATATATATATATATATATATATATATATATATACATATGTTTGTATGCAACTGTATGTATGTTTTAAACAGAAAGCTGATTACAAAAACAAAATATTTTTAAAAATACTTGAGAAAGTTGAAGACCATGAGCAAATGATAATAATTCTTACATTTCTTCGTCATTAAAAATAAAAATTTCTTTTTATTGTTTCTTTTGTCCTGATTTTATTGTGCTTGTTTTTTTTTTTTTTTTTTGAGCTTAACAAATTTTTACCAGCCTTATTTAAAAAAAAAATAATAATAGAACTCAAACCTTGAATGCAAAATAATCCAATCCAAGAAACATATGCAATAATCATCACCCACATTGTAATCTGCATTCTGGCATTAATTTGAAATTATAATTTTTATACCTTCTTTATCTCTCAAATACCGATTAGTTTCACTATTTATTCATGTATGCCTGAAATATAGCAGCATCGTCAACACCTAGTATCATGGTTGATGTGTAAACAATCGACACACTCTGCCCATCGTTTATTTGAGTCTTTATCTAAGTAAATACTAGAGGTTAAAGTAAACACATATCAACGTTTAACAGGGACGAAAACTTTAATTATCTTAAAATCTGTTTTATGAAACTTCCTAGTTGAATATTTACGAAAAACCAAATGCTATCGGAAGTGAAACAGAAACTTGAACATTTTTCGAGTATATCTTAATAATAGGTCAGTTGAAACAGGAAGTAGCTTATGAATCCTAGTGGCCTTGTTAAAATCTCTTAATAAACAAAAACTACATCAACCAGTGGCTACAGTAGGAAACACGCCATTTTAATTAAACTAACATACTTGAACAGTGAATCTAGAGCAGTGGTTCCCAAACTTTTTCGAGTGGCGACCCTCTATTATAAAAAGTAAGTGACCCGCAAACCCCATAGAATTAAAAAGCCGATATTAATATGAAAATTAATAAGCACTTAAATAAGACTTTCTAGGAGACTTTCAATATGAACTACTCTTGATAGCTGTTTTAATACGATGAGTAAAATTCCATGCTATTTACTAAACATACGCTGTTAAGTTTTTGTTGACGCCAACCTATGTCATTATCAACATTCAATTTATTTCTTAATTTTGTTTTTAATCGGAGAATAGTGTTGAAAATCTATTCTAGAAAAGTTAATCAATTTTACGTTTGGGTATGAATGGTGAATACTACACCAAAATTGTGCATACAGTTTTTCATCTTACGTGGAATCATTCTGCAAATCGAAGAATTCATCTTGTAATTCATCGTGAATGCTGGCAACATCAAGGGAAGTAGAGAATGGGTAATGCGTCAATGCAGATTCTTCTTCTTTCAGCTCAAAGAAATAGCGCTGCAGTTCGTTTTCAAGAGATTCAAGATGCCCAGAAATGGCTTCTTTCAAAATTTTAATTATTTCACAATCAGATTCATCTACCACACGCAGAGTTTCTCAAATTTTCAATATTGCCAAGATTTATTTTCTTTACCAATTTTGTAGCTTTGATAAAAATGCCCCGAAATTATCATGGAAAGTGATAATATTCGTTCATTTTCCCTGAAGCTTCAGGTTAAGCTTATGTTTTGTTCGAATACATCTGCTAGGTATGATACTCTCTCCAACTACTCTATGTCGTTTTAAGTATACCAAAAGGTCTTGTTTCCTTTGCACTTCCAAGAACAAATTGATTTTAGATTTCAATTCAAAATCACGATTCACAAAATTTCGTTTGACAGCATACTGTAGTGTAGAAAAGCAGAACCTCGTGATCTATATTAATGTTGTTGCTCAGTTTTTGAAGGCTCCAGATTTAATATAATTCACGACTTTTACTTGTAGTGGAGTCGGAAGCGTCTTGATGGCGATGGCATACCGGTGGATTCCCCTTGGTTAGGGAGCTAAATCTTTTCTGTTTTCTGAATGCCCGATTATGACCTAAACTTAGATGGTGCACAAAATAGCATCTCTTCTTTGCTATCACCTGAATGAATACAAAGAAAAGCAACTGCGAACACGAACTAACGTCTGTTGATTTATCAACTTAAAAAGCAAACAATGGTGAAAGCTTGATTTCATTAAAAAATTGTTATTTAACATCTACGAACATGTCTGCTATAAGCCGATGAATTTTGGAATCCACAAAAAATAAACTTGACCATCGTCAACATGCAGGGTTTTTCTCCTATTGTGTTGTTTTTTGTTTTTTTTTTTTTGCTTGGCAATTTCTATCGTGGCTTCATTTGATGATTGCATTAATGCTGTGTTTCCTTTGGTGAAAACTTCCTGTTCAATCAAGTCTCTGACGTTTGCAACTAGCTTCACGCGGATGAAAGTACTCCTTATCTTTTTTGGTGTGTTCCGAATGACTCAAATGACGTATTAGTTTTGAAGATTTCATAAACTCGTGACTGAGAACAACTTTGTACAGTACGCATTGCTTCTTATCTATTCCATTTCCAGTGAAGTTAGTAAAGCCGAATTTCAAATATTCTTCTAAATATTTATGTTTTGTTTCTCATTGCTAAGGTTTAGAATGCCAGTTGGCGACCCCCCAGAAAGCCCTCCCATGGGGGGTCGCGACCCCCCGTTTGGGAACCCGTGATCTAGGGAAAACTCAAGTGCCTATTTGTTGGCTAGATGAGTCAATAGAAACTGAAACTGAAACGATTGTTTTCTGCTTAATGGTATTTGTTCTTCAAACTTATGGACTTCTAGTTTACAAGTTTGACATATTTATCGTGATTATAGAAATTTTACTTGTTATCGCTTGTAAAAGAGTCAGCGATAAGTCAGTTTTTTTGTAGTGTCACTGTTTCATGTAATGTTAAGCTTTTGTTCTAACTGTGCAAGGCTGCAGAGACACGCGTATCTTGTTTTAAACAAAATCACTCTACTTAATTAATAAAAAAGTTTTGTTTGGTAAACTTCGATATTTCAAACGTGAATTAGAAATCAGTTTGTAGTCAAAGTTGGCTAAAAAGTAAGAAGTGCTAGTAGTACTATTTACCCGTCACAATCTCCCATTTCGATTATCTTTTTTTCTTCGTCATTTCTATGCACATATATTTTTCTAAATCATCCATAGGTTTTATTGCAAGGACAGGATAATATAAAAAACACTTCTACAGAGATGGGGTGTGGTAATAAGGAAGATATGATTTTGATACAGTTAGGAGCTAAATTCTCAGTTAGCCGAAAAAAATAATTATTACACACATACAACTAATTGTTGTTGGCAAAGATTGATTGATTTTTTCAATTAAATCCAATCAATACAAGCAACTCTGATAAGTATGGAATACACAAATTTTGGGCTTTCGACTCATATATCTTCGCAAAGGTAAAGTTTCCTTTCAAACCTGACGGTCTATAGGACAAGTGAAGTAGAGTTCACTTGTTTCTGTGACCTCGGCATATGAAGAGATACTGTGGTCAGCACTATGCCCAGCCGCCCCTACTTTCCCTAAGGTGAGTTAGGTACCCATCAGATTTGGGTGGACTCAGGGACGGTCTACTGACTTGAACCCGGATTCAAACTCGACACTTACGGGTTAGCAGCTTCACAAAAAGGGTGCCCATATTATGTCAATGAAAACAAAAGTTCCCTGCCAGCAAAAAGAAATGTCCAGTTATTTTAGTTCTATCTAACAACTGTGCTCTCTGAGGTGTAAACAGGTTTTAAATTAATATATAACTATTTTTTTGTAAACAAAGAGCAATGAATTGGGTTTTTTACTGTAAAATTCACATTACATGCTTACGTCACTAGTTCACATGACACACATACAGCCAATAACAAGTAGACTACATATTATTATGTTGAATATATTTAATACTACAAACAGATAAATTGCAGTAAAATTATTTATATCAGTACTTTTATTTTCTTATTAAATAGTTATTTTTAAATCTGCACTATATTACCTTATGAAATTTTGAAAACTTTGAAGGAATGGAAAATGATTAAAATTGCATTGTACACAGGCCTTATTGGTAAGACAAACATGCTGCTAACAAATATTATACTGTAAAACAGTAACATAAAATTATGTCAATACTGGCATAATTATACATCATTATGTTTAAGGCAGTAGACTTTAAAAAAATAATTACATGATAGATTATAGAAAGAAATGTAATAAACTATCCTAATTATTCTTCATAAGTACTACAATGATAAAGCAAGTGTAAATCACCCAAATATTTTCTATTTTTATACTAAAGTACTAAATGATAAAAAAAAACATCAAAATAAAAACAAGACACAAGCCTCCGCCAAACATTTCAAATGTACAAAAAGAACGGAATAAATTTGAACTTAAAACCAGGGACAAAAAAAATAAATTGCAGAAAGAGATTGAACATACACCACAAAAAACTTAAAATTTAGACTTGTTGGCAGATTGGCATAAAATTAAACTTCAACCAATATACATGTAAAACAAAATAATATGCTACAGTAATGATCAAGCCTGAAAATCCTGTAATTTAAAAATGTTTACACAAATTTTTGAGACTTATACACTGGAATTGTAAAATGCCTAGTGTACACAATATCAAGTTAGAAGTATAATAAATATCTAGAAAATAGCACTGAAAATGTTAAAGAGTTTAACAAATTATGCAAAACTGCCCATTATTGCAATTGAAACTATTAGTTTTATTCTGAAATTGAGTAACTTGTATGGATTAAATTAAACGAAGTACATTAAAAAATTACCCTTTTGATCCTTGCCTTACAGCAGTTGATGTACAGTTCACAGGTTTCAGTGACCATGGCATATTGTGTGGTCAGCACACTACCTAGCCATTGTTACTTTCCATAACATAAGTCAAGAACCCACCAGAGCTGGGTGCACTCAGGGAGATCCTACCAACTTATGGGTTAGCTTTATAAAGTTCTACATTTGACCACGCCATCTCTACATTACAATGAGTGAAATTCAACACTGTAATTTATATTACAGATGCAATGTATACCTAAGCTTTTTTTCAATAAGCTGTATAGTTTACATTAGATTAGTAAACTTCTTCACTTTTTTTATACTGCTATTTACAAAGTTCATTTAGAACACACAAAGGCCTATATATAATAGCATGTACATATACTATATTTATATATTTATTGTATTAAGCTGAATTTTCTATATCACAAAAAATAGATTATCCAAATACTTAAGTTTTATTTGAGCGAAATAAGCAAACAAAAATGCATTTAAAGGAACTTTTAACAACATTATGCAGCTGAAGCATACATCATAAAACACAATAAAGATATTTAAAAATGACCAGAGATCAAGCAGAACATAATAAAACTAATAATATATGGAAAAATTACTATTTAACAGAATAATACACAGGTATGCATTTCTGAAACTTGTTATGGTTCAATTAATTATCTACATATAACATCCACACCTGGCTTTGATGACTACAGTTTGTTTACAATAGAAGTGAAGAGACAAACTGTGGTAGGCAGGAAAAAAAAACCCAAATGATAATGTTAAAATAAAGGGAAAAACACACACTCTATTGAAAGCATTGCTAACCAGAATGACTTGGGTTGACAGTTATGGTATCTTTCAATTCGTATTCCTCTTTGGAGAGAAGTGTTTGTTCTTCAACTTTTCTAAATGGAATCGTCTTTTCAACATCTAAATAAGATACAAAAAAAGCATTAAAAAATGATAAAAGATTACTAAAATATTGTAAAACTGTTTATTTTTGTATATGCTCGTTGAAACCCAGTGGTTTCTGGTTTAATTATATAAATAGCTAACACATACTTACTTTCACTTATGCCTCCCATTACATAATTAGTAGTTGTGCTTTCTGATCCTGTACCATTGTTGTCATCACCTTTTTAAAGTTAAATATTACACCTAGTTGACTTGGTAAAATAGTAAAGAGAAATTAAAACCTCAAAAAAAGCCTGTCATAAATATTTGAATCCTCTGTCTATGCCTATGGTCTATTTACCTTCAATATTTCTAACAGTGCTTGAAAGTACTTGTCTTAGTCTAGCTGCAAACCTGATGAAAAATATGTACACGGTATTATTAGCTGAATAATTTTAAAAAAAATAACTAGGTCTATAGAAATCCTAAGCGGTAAATTTATCTAAATGTTGTGATGGACCTGAAACATCTACTATAGTGTCTCAACCTCTTCCCAATTATTTTCTATTCCACAGGTGTGGACTTAACCAATTCTTGATAATGGGCTAGGATTATTAGGATGAAGCCCAAGCAGTTTAACCTATTAGGTAAAGATGCTTAATTCAAGATACATTATTTTTCCTTCTATTCTAGGCAAAAATTACCAATACTTTCTGTAATATGGCATGTAATGACCACAGACATAATAACTATTTTGGTTATCATAGTGTAGAGAGGATTGTGTGACTGTACATGAAAGTAACTTGAGAAAATGTGTTCATTCTAGCTTTACATTTGTAAGATCTATTTCAATACAGGTATGTTATTATTTAATGTTATGTATTAACTAAATAATTGTATATCTGAACTAGTAGGATTTTAAAGTTTCTTGTGCCCCTGTTAAATAATATGTGCACTCTTTGCCTCAAAGAATTCATTCGTGGCTAATTCCTAAATCATAAATGATTATCAAAAGAACCTAAAATTCAAAATTAGTCTTAGCAAAAATTGCTGTACAAACAAGTTGGTTTGAATAAAATTAGCATGTTACTTGAGGTACTGCTGAGCTATAATAAAATAAATTATTTCTACATTAGAGACCTATCATCATTTTCATTTATTTAGAAAGTGTCACGGTCAACATTAAATATGTTGTTTTGTTCTATTTTGCAAAATCTGCAATGATACTTATCTGATAATGTTAGGGAGTGCTTAATGTTTATTATACTTCCTATTTGTAGTTGTTTTTTTTTCCAATACAACTTGTATTACAAGTATAATCAAGCAGAATATTAATTTAAATTTTCAAAATTAGAAATCTAAATATTCCCTAACCCTAGACTTCTTTCCATTCATAAAAATCAAGTAAAATAAGAGAATTATATATATAAAAAAATAACCTAGATGAAAAATTAGGCTACTAAGCCATGACTCTATTAAAATGCAAGTCTGGCAAAGAAACCATTAAATTTGACATGCTTTTCTTTTTTAAACAAAACATTTTGTAGAATTACATTGTCAGTTGAGCATTGCATCAAGTTAGAAGGGAAACAAAGTGGTTTCTAATTATTCAAGCCCTTATAAACAAAAATATATAAAATCCAATACGCATTATACCAAGAATTTTGAACCACATAAAAATCTATGGCCATACCATACAAATTTATGAATGTACATATTATTTGTGTTTGGAGGCAGCAATACTTTAAAAGAATCTAAATTTAAATTCATAATTACAATTTCGATGCTAAGATGTTATATAAGGGGTAGACATGGTTCCAAAAGCAGCAGACACCTAAAAAGAGAAAAATATTCTTTCATGAATACAAAATCACTACCAAAAATTATAACAAGATGCAAAGGTTCATCAACATATTGAATCAATGTGCACTTTGCTAAAATAAATATAACAAGTTGAAGCTATTTAATTGTTTTAAAAATGCATTTCAAATAAAATTAAGTATACCTTACCAATTATTGCCAAAATCCCAAATAAGCCACAGAAAAATTTTAATATTAAGATGACTGTGAAAATAAAATAAACGAGTTTATACTTGTAAACACATCATCTTCAAGCAGTATTCATAACTTTAACTTACATCTATTACATATAAGATACAAGAAATGGAGCACAGCAAGGGCATTGTTCGTTATGAAAATCTAAATGCCTAAACTAATTCAGTTCATTTTCACCACCCTTGTAGACTAAAACAAAAGGAAAGTCATCATACAATTTCTTTCTCAATAAAAAGATTTTAAAAGATTGTAGAACATTTTAACTTCATTCAAATTTCAGGAAGTTTGATCGGATCATCAAGTTTTGTAATGTGTGAATATTGTAAAAATATTACTACAAAAAATAATAAACCAGGAGTGATCTCCACTGAACTTTCTCGAATATTCTTATATATAAAAAACAGGGAATGGGAACTCGGGATATAGAATGAATTTTAATCCATTTTAAATACTTAAACTTTTTAAAATAGAATAAAATCTCGTAGAAAAATAATTGCACACCAGTGAACGCCAAATAAAATGTGCATAATAGTGCGGTATAGGCTACTATTAGTACTTTATAAATTTACATTAGTTTTTGAGAAATCGGAAATAGCGTAAATTAGTACTTTACTAAAAATTTGACAAGAGGGAGAAAATTAGATTTTTGACTTAGATGTGAAATTTCATTTATCTATCTGAAATAGTACTCAAGTTATAGGCTTTTGAAAAATTCAAAGTAGAAAAAGTACCACTTCCGGCTATTGGAAAGCGCTCAAAAGTTGATGCGGATCTACGATTTTGATAAAATACTTATATATGAAATTTCATCAACCTAGCTGTAACTGTACTCAAGTTATCGTGTTTACAGATACACACACACAGACACACACACAGACACACAGACATACGGACAAGATTGCAAAATTATGTTTTTCCGTATCAGTGAGGTGTAAAACGTTGAGATTTGCAAAAATCTCGATTTTGTTTTGCACGATTACAGGACTTTCTCTATACTTCGTATATACGAGGAAGCAAAAAAGGAGAAATCAAACTTGCCTGATAATGATAAGGATAATGAACTAGGAAATATATTGGTAGAATCAATGACTATGTTGTGAAATTATAGTTAAAACAACTAATTACATTTCCGATCGAAAAAAAGAGTACTATTTTAAGAAAAAGGGAAACTTACAGTTAAACAATATAAAGCTACAAAAACAAAACAAAAATCTCAATGATAATGAAATGGTAAAGAAAAACCACACATAATAAAGTGGTTGAAATAAACATATTTCTAAACATGTGCAAGTTATGTAGGGTAAGTCAAGCCACGACTGATATTATACAATTTACCTGTCGTCTGACCTTCACATTTCTGTTTACTTATACAATGATCTGGTTGAAGAAAAAATTAAAAAAAAAAACGTTTTAATAACAAACTTTTATGTAATAATGCACTGAAAAGTAGAAAACAAATTATACACTACTATTTAAATAAATATAAAGAAAAACGTGGGTCACTTTAGTATCAATTGGATACCTTTACTAATATTTAGGAAGAGATCCACGCTTTTGTTTATAGTTATTTAAATAGTAGTGTATAATTTATTTTCTACTTTTTAGTGCATTATTGCATACATTAATTTTAGTACTTTACATGTTTTTATTGACAATAGAGTTACAGGGCGAAAACCATTGCGCACCTATTGAACGTGATGACGCTTGTATAATAGTGTGGAGTAGTTGGATAAGACTGCCTACTAATTGGGTCAAATTTTAATTAATTCATAAAACATTAATTAGGCATCCAATTAAGTCAAATTTAATGTCATGTTGCATTGTCTTCATGTCTTGACCCACGTACCAATGTTGAAACAAATCTGTCAGTTAGAAGTGTCCGAAATTTCGCTCATGCGATTTGATCTAGACAGACAGACTGACTAGGAAGTGAGTTAAATAAAAGCTTGTAAAAAGGAACAAGTAACAAAGCTATTTTGGGTCAAATATGATACATTTCACAATAGAATTTATATCTACTCAAACTGTCACAGTGAAAAAGGTAGTAAATTGGAGGGGGTGGTGTAGTTTGAAGCAGACATTCTGAAACATAAAATGTCTTAAGTGTCCTTTCTTCCAATAAAATAGAGCAATAGTCAAAACTACTAAAGTTATTATTTCACCTTTTGTAATCGGCAGCAATTTTGCAAATTTTAACTTGCTATCATTGTAAGGCTGCCCTATTAAGCATTGATTATAGGGTTTAGTCAATACTTTCACAGTTAGTGAAACAATTTCCTTTTCAGGCAGACTTTGACAGTAGCACAGGTTTTCTTCATTTTCTTCACAGTGAGAAATATTTACAAGACAGTGCTGAAAAGAAAAACAAGTCTCAAAAGTCTTCCAATATTTATGACAAGTTTACGTCAAAATATTATTTGGCAGTACAAGGACAATAATCAAAATCAAATAAAACGAATACTTCTATACTGACACATATACTTAATTTAAAAATACATGAGATCTTTTTTCAGCTGTATGGGCTTACAATCGATCAGAATTTTTCTAAATTGAACATTGGAATTTTAGTTAGGTTTAAAAATTGTGTGTAGCAGCCTACAATACTTGCTATAGAGATTAATTTATTTAAGTTCATCTAGCAACATGAAAGTGCCAAAGCTTTTTTGGTTATCGAAATATTATTCCCATTTGATGATTAGGTCTAACTCAAACTAAAGGCCAACTGTTGTAACAAAATTGAATAATAGGTCAGTTATTATGTTCATTTGTCACCAAAAAGTCATGATAGCTTGGAATTAAATAGTTTTTTCTCCTTTCTTCTTCTTTGTTCTTAATTTTAGCGTTGGAAGGGATCCCCTCCAACACAATTAAGTATGTGTCAACTGGTTTTGTGCCAATGAGACCATTGACTCCGCTCGCTAACCCCTTTAGTATGAACCAATTTCTGTGTCCATGTGGTTTTTGAAATGGTGGAAAAAAATGGACAGCATGTTTTCTTTTGATATTCTGCATTTAGACTAGTTTATTGAGGTTTTGTACCTTGTTCTCCTGTGCTTTTTCAGTGCACTGGAAGAATACACTGAAACAAATAAGTGTCAAGAAATGCATAAGGAAAGACAAACTGGGTTATTTAGACCTGCTGACAAGTGAAGCGGAAGAAGCACTGTACCATGGTAATATCAGGGACGTGTACAATACAATTAAGAAGATATATGGGAAGTAAAAAAGCCAGAGAGGCCAGTATAGATCAAAGATGGAAAAGTAATACCTGATGTGGAAGGACAGAGGAAGAGATGGGCAGAACATTTTGAAGAACTACTGAATAGACCAACACCAGAGTGCACGCAAGAATACCACCAGCTGCAACCCACCTTAAAAAGAAGAGATACATAAAGCTATAAAGCAGCTGAAAAATTGGAAGGCTCCAGGAATAGATGGTATACCGGCAGAAGCACTGACAGCAGATATAGAAACTAGGGTGACCCGTCAAAAGAGCGCATGACAAAAGAGCGCCTTTCGATATCTGTAGCATTCGAACAGTATAATAACCTTCCTTTTCTGTGATTCGATCTTCTCAATGTTACTTGGATTAGAAATATTTTCAAACTGCATTTATAACATATTAATCATAATATATAAATAAACACGTCGTACCGCCAATTGTTTAATTAAAACAAGTGTTAACCATGTCATATTCGTTTAGCGTACAGCATGTATTTTTTAATTGACTGCGCTCTTATGTCGGCGCTCTTTTGTCTGCGCTCTTATGTCGGCGCTCTTTTGTCGTGCGCTCTTTTGACGGGGTGCCAGAAACTAGCACCACACTAATACACACACGCTTTAAGAAAATCTGGGAAGATGAACAAATACAGAGGAGTGGAAGGAGGGACTACTCATAAAACTTCAAAAGAAAGGCGATCTTAGTGCATGCTCTAACTATAGAGGGATAACACTTTTATCCATCCCAGGCAAAAACTTCATCAGAATATTATTAAACAGAATGAAGGAAGCAATAGATCCACAGCTCTGAGAGCAATAGGAGGGCTTTAGGAAGGAAAGGTCATGCGTAGACCAAACTGCTACTCTGTGCATCATTATTGAACAGACCCAAGAGTGGAACTCATCTCTCTATATTAATTTCATAGATTATGAGAAGGCCTTTGATAGCCTGGATAGACACTACGGGGTGCCACAGAAAATAGTCAACATTATTATGTCTTCATATGAAATGTAGAGTAGTGCATTGCCTACAGACTTCGGAGGCCTGCCGGAGTAAGGCAGGGTTGCCTGCTTTCACCATTCCTGTTCCTGCCGGCCATAGACTGGGTTATGAAGATGTCAACAGAGAAAACGCGAAACGGTATACAGTGGACACTATGGAGCCAGCTGGATGACCTGGACTTTGCCGACAACCTGGCCCTTCTTTCTCACACACAACAGCAAATGCAAGATAAAACCAACAGTGCTGCTAATTTTTATACATGTCTGGGCCTGAACATCCACAGAGGGAAAAGTAAAATTCTAAAAAGTCAATGCATCAAACACCAACCCTATAACAGAAGAAGCCCTAGAAGAAGTGAATAGATTCACCTACCTTGAAAGTATTGTTGATAAGCAGGGTGGGGCAGAAGCAGACATAAAAAAAGACGGGCAAGGCAAGAGCAGTTTCAACCGACTAAACAATGTTTGGGGTTCTGGAGATTTAACCCTTGGAATAAAAATCAGGATCTTCAACACACTAGTAAAACCTGTTCACTCTATGAAGCTGAGACATGGAGAATAACTGCTATAAATAAGAAGAAAATACAATCATTTATAAACTCATGCCTCAGAAAGATCCTGCGAATTCACTGGCCTAAAACCATCAGAAATGATGTTCTATGGCAATGGACAAATCAACTGCCAGTTGAAGTAGAGATCCTCCAGAGAAAATGGAAATGGATTGGCCACACACCCAGGAAGCCTGTATCCAGCATAACAGGACAGGCCCTCACCTGGAATCCAGAGAGGCAGATCAAGAAAGACCTGGAGACGTGACCTGGAAAAAGACACTAAGAAGATTGGAAAACCTGGGGACAATGGGGGAGACTAGCCCTGGACAGAGACGCCTGGAAAGCTCTTGTCAGTGGCCTATGTCCCAGGAGGGACAACAGGCAAACCAACAGAGTTTCTTTCAGGCATCTCTTCGGGCCCCGAAAATTTTTTTTCTTTTATCTGAATATAATGTGATGGATGTTTTTGCATCATTATAATTAATGTTAAGAAGAAGCAAGAAAAGGTATTTTATTAGCTCTTCTTACATTCCTTCAATTTAAGAGGGCTGGGTCATTTGTGTGTAACATACAATCTTTGAAAAATATTTTATTTTAATAAAAAGGTTAAACAGGTTATTAAAATAAATTTAGAAATAAGACTTGCCACTAGCAGGTTGCAAAACGTCATAATTTAACTGCTAAATAACCTGTACTAATTAATTAAATAGTAATACTCACTGTAGAACATTCCATACAAGCAGAACTACAAATTAAAAATTTCACAGCACTTTGAATTTCATCCATGACACACATTGTACTATTTACCACAATTAAACTATCTTTTGTGACAGGCTCATTATAATGTATACCAGGTGAACTGCAAGGACCATCTAAAAAGAAATTGAAACAAAATAATCAATGATAATTATATTCAGCAATTTAAAAAAAAAAAATTAAGTCATTTATGACATGTGTGATTTAAGAATATATCTGTGAATGGACTTTCAACTTTGAATGGGTCAGTTTTATGAGAGAGTGCTATTTCAATGAGTGCTATTTCAATACCAAATTCAGACAAAAGTATTGAACATTTAGAGTAATGTACAACTACTAGCACAAAAATTACTAATCTAAATGGAAACCATAGGAAAATAAAAGCAACAGACCTAAAACAGCTAATTTTTCAAGAGTGGGTTGTCAAACCAATAATATAAAACAGACCAATGAAATTGCTTGCTATGTGGAATCATTTATAGAAAACAAAACCCTGTGTTTGACTATGGAGTGTCAAAAACATCTCTAATAGATTAACAAATTGATATATAATATTCTTTATTTTTCTTTATATTTACAACCCAAATTTGCTTCAGTTATTAACTTTAAAACTAAGAGCAGGTATTATTAAAATTCAAGATAGAAAAATGTATGAAGGAAATTACACTGTAAAAAGAAACCTAATTCAATTTTTTTTGGTGAAAAAATGTAATCTTGCAGCAAAAGAAAATATGGTGATAACTAAAACAAAAATCTTTATTAAAGACAATTAAAGTGGTTAAAAGAATCAATTCCACATTAAGGCAAATTATTTCAGTTTAGTTTGGCCAAACTGAATGAAAATTGTGGTTCTGTAAAATGGTTTCTGGAAAGCTGAAATGAATTTGAATAGCAAATTAAGTCTTTAAAGTTTTGAGAACTGCACTTTACCAGCTGGAAAGAAGTAATTGTTTTGTGGGAAAAACAGAAGCTAACAGATTAGTTAACAATTAAAAGTAAGCATTTACCTTTTTTAAATTCCAGCAACTTTGTGAAATTTAACTTGTCATCATTGAAATTGTTGAATAACTGCCCTTTTAAGCATTGAAATGTAGATTTAATCAATACTTTCACTGTTACTGACACCCTTTCATTTTCAGGCATTATTTCACAGTAGCAAAGCTTTTCTTCATTTTTTTCACACTGAGCAGTATTTACAAAACAGTGCTGAAAAGAAGCACAGGTCTCAAAAGTCTACCAATATTACGACAACTTTAGGTCAAAATATTATATATTATAAACAAAATCAAATAAGATAAATAGAATACCTTGTAAGAATTAGTAAGAATAATTTTTTTTTAAAAATCCATGTATGTATAGTAATGGCTTCAGAAAAAAACAGATATTTCAAAGGAGAGAAACCTTTTTATTAATTCAATACTGTTATGATGTGTTTAAACAGAGTATGTTGGTGCAAACGAATGTTGGTGTGAAAGATATAATAAAAGCATGGAATGATGACTTTGCGCAGAAACTGTTTGCTGTGTGTTGTGTGTGAGTTAGTTCTTGTCTTGATGGTCTTAGTGAAAGGGTAATTATGACCTGTGTGACTCAGTTGGGAGGGTGATTCCATGAGACATCCATATGGATGACAATTTTAAGCAGAATCGATGAGTCCAGTAATAGAATAAATATAGGAAGAACAATCCCATATGTATCTTGTCGATTAATTGTACCTGTATCATCTAGATGTGTAATGGCATAATGATTGGCTATTGCTGTGGTATCCTTACATGGTAGTGGTATTCTCAAATGGCAATGAATCAAGTTGTTCAACCCCTCACAGTCCCAACACATAACATCATCACTTTATGGTAATAAATAACATAATAACTGCCCAGTTAATTATTTTATTTAAATTGATAGTTTGGCCTTTGGTTAAAGATTAGTAGCAGGTCTTATCCTCAAGTGGGAATAGTAACATTTCTGTAGCCATATAAGCTTTGCAACATTTATGTTGTTATCCAAATAGATAGAAATTCTTGGACTAGAAAAGCTTGAATCAATCACTAAAAAATAATAAATAAATACTTGAATACATTATTTACCAAAAATTTAATTAGATTTTCAGCACCATAAATAATATATCCTGACATCATCATTCATAGTACTACCTTGAAATTGTATAGTCAATCACAATCATATTTTGTTATGTTCACCTATTATTTAAAACACTAGTTCTATCTGATGCCATGGTCAAAAATGTGTGACCTGAAAATGACTGGGAGATGGACTACTAGATCTGGTTTATTCAGGTTTTGCACCTAGTTCTCTCAATTTCATTCTGATGAGAGCAAGTAGATGGTTGGTTTAGTGGGCAGAGTAAATTGCATGCTACACAAACAGCTTTGCTATTTCTTGTAAAAGCAGGGCTGTGGCCTACATGAGGTTACATTAGACTAATGGCAGTGGAATTAGATTTGTTAAGTTAAGTGGTTATTGGAACATTTTCTTTTATCCGAATATAATGTGATGGATGTTTTTTTATCATTATAATTAATGTTAAGAAGTAGCAAGAAAAGGTATTTTATTTGCTCTTCTTACATTCCTTCAATTTAAGAGGGCTGGGTCATTTGTGTGTAACATACAATCTTTGAAAAATATTTTATTTTAATAAGAAGTCTAAGATATAAAAGGTTAAACAGGTTATTAAAATAAATTTAGAAATAAGACTTGCCACTAACAGGTTGCAAAATGTCATAATTTAACTGCTTAATAAACTGTACTAATTAATTAAATAGTAATACTCACTGGAGAACATTCCATACAAGGAGAATTACAAATTAAAAATTTCACAGCACTTTGAATTTCATCCATGACACACATTGTACTATTTACCACAATTAAACTATCTTTTGTGACAGGCTCATTATAATGTATACCAGGTGAACTGCAAGGACCATCTAAAAAGAAATTGAAAAAAAAAAATCAATGATAATTATATTCAGCGATTTTAAAAAAAAATTAAAAGTCATTTTTGACATGTGTGATTTAAGAATATATCTGTGAATGGACTTTCAACTTTGAAAGGGTCGGTTTTATGAGATAGTGCTATTTCAATGAGTGCTATTTCAATACCAAATTCAGACAAAAGTATTGAACATTTAGAGTAATGTACAACTACTAGCACAAAAATTACTAATCTAAATGGAAACCATAGGAAAATAAAAGCAACAAACCTAAAACAGCTAATTTTTCAAGAATGGGTTGTCAAAGCAATAATATAAAACTGACCAATGAAATTGCTTGCTATGTGGAATCATTTATAGAACAAATTGATATATAATATGCTTTATTTTTCTTTATATTTACAACCCAAATTTGCTTCAGTTATTAACCTTAAAACTAAGAACAGGTGTTATTAAAATATGGTGATAACTAAAACAAAAATCTTTATTAAAGACAATTAAAGTGGTTAAAAGAATCAATTCCACGTTAATGCAAGTTATTTCAGTTTAGTTTAGCCAAACTGAATGAAAATTGTGGTTCTGTAAAATGGTTTCTGGAAAGCTGAAATGAATTTGAATAGCAAATTAAGTTTTTAAAGTTTCGAGAACTTCACTTTACCAGCTGGAAAGAAGTAATTGTTTTGTGGGAAAAACAGAAGCTAACAGAATAGTTAACAATTAAAAGTAAACATTTACCTTTTTTAAATTGCAGCAACTTTGTGAAATTTAACTTGTCATCATCGAAATTGTTGGATAACTGCCCTTTTAAGCATTGAAATGTAGATTTAATCAATACTTTCACTGTTACTGACACCCTTTCTTTTTCAGGCATTATTTCACAGTAGCAAAGCTTTTCTTCATTTTTTTCACACTGAGCAGTATTTACAAAACAGTGCTGAAAAGAAGCACAGGTCTCAAAAGTCAACCAATATTACGACAAATTTTGGTCAAAATATTATATATTAAAAACAAAATCAAATAAGATAAATAGAATACCTTTTAAGAATTAGTAAGAATACATTTTTTTTTAAATCTATGTATGTATAGTAATGGCTTCAGAAAAAAAATAGATATTTTAAAGGAGAGAAACCTTTTTATTAATTCAATACTGTTATGATGTGTTTAAACAGAGTATGTTGGTGCAAACGAATGTTGGTGTGAAAGATATAATAAAAGCATGGAATGATGACTTTGCGCAGAAACTGTTTGCTGTGTGGTTTGTGTGAGTTAGTTCTTGTCTTGATAGTCTTAGTGGAAGGGTAATTATGACCTGTGTGACTCAGTTGGGAGGGTGATTCCATGAGACATCCATATGGATGACAATTTTAAGCAGAATCGATGAGTCCAGTAATAGAATAAATATAGGAAGAACAATCCCATATGTATCTTGTCGATTAATTGTCCCTGTATCATCTATATGTGTAATGGCATGATGATTGGCTATTGTTGTGGTATCCTTACATGGTAGTGGTATTCTCAAATGGCAATGAATCAAGTTGTTCAACCCCTCACAGTCCCAACACATAACATCATCACTTTATGGTAATAAATAACATAATAACTGCCCAGTTAATTATTTTATTTAAATTGATAGTTTGGCCTTTGGTTAAAGATTAGTAGCAGGTCTTATCCTCAAGTGGGAATAGTAACATTTCTGTAGCCATATAAGCTTTGGAACATTCATGTTGTTATCCAAATAGATAGAAATTCTTGGACTAGAAAAGCTTGAATCAATCACTACATGCATACATAACTTGAATACATTATTTACCAAAAATTTAATTAGATTTTCAGCACCATAAATAATATATCCTGACATCATCATTCATAGTACTACCTTGAAATTGTATAGTCAATCACAATCATATTTTGTTATGTTCACCTATTATTTAAAACACTAGTTTTAACTGATGCCATGGTCAAAAATGTGTGACCTGAAAATGACTGGGAGATGGACTACTAAATCTGGTTTTTTCAGGTTTTGCACCTAGTTCTCTCAATTTCATTCTGATGAGAGCAAGTAGTAGGTTGGTATAGTGGGCAGATTAAGCACAAGCTACACAAACAGCTTTGCTATTTCTTGTAAAAGCAGGGCTGTGGCCTACATGAGGTTAGACTAATGGCAGTGGAATTAGATTTGTTACGTTAAGTGGTTATTGGAACATTTTCTTTTATCTGAATATAATGTGATGGATGTTTTTGCATCATTATAATTAATGTTAAGAAGTAGCAAGAAAAGGTATTTTATTTGCTCTCCTTACATTCCTTCAATTTAAGAGGGCTGGGTGATTTGTGTGTAACATACAATCTTTGAAAAATATTTTATTCTAATAAGAAGTCTTAGATATAAAATGTTAAACAGGTTATTAAAATAAATTTAGAAATAAGACTTGCCACTAGCAGGTTGCAAAATGTCATAATTTAACTGCTTAATAAACTGTACTAATTAATTAAATAGTAATACTCACTGGAGAACATTCCATACAAGGAGAATTACAAATTAAAAATTTCACAGCACTTTGAATTTCATCCATGACACACATTGTACTATTTACCACAATTAAACTATCTTTTGTGACAGGCTCATTATAATGTATACCAGGTGAACTGCAAGGACCATCTAAAAAGAAATTGAAAAAAAAAATCAATGATAATTATATTCAGCGATTTTAAAAAAAAATTAAAAGTCATTTTTGACATGTGTGATTTAAGAATATATCTGTGAATAGACTTTCAACTTTGAAAGGGTCGGTTTTATGAGATAGTGCTATTTCAATGAGTGCTATTTCAATACCAAATTCAGACAAAAGTATTGAACATTTAGAGTAATGTACAAATACTAGCACAAAAATTACTAATCTAAATGGAAACCATAGGAAAATAAAAGCAACAAACCTAAAACAGCTAATTTTTCAAGAATGGGTTGTCAAAGCAATAATATAAAACTGACCAATGAAATTGCTTGCTATGTGGAATTATTTATAGAAAATAAAACACCTGTGTTTGACTATAGAGTGTCAAAAACATCTCTAATAGATTAACAAATTGATATATAATATGCTTTATTTTTCTTTATATTTACAACCCAAATTTGCTTCAGTTATTAACCTTAAAACTAAGAACAGGTGTTATTAAAATATGGTGATAACTAAAACAAAAATCTTTATTAAAGACAATTAAAGTGGTTAAAAGAATCAATTCCACATTAAGGCAAGTTATTTCAGTTTAGTTTGGCCAAACTGAATGAAAATTGTGGTTCTGTAAAATGGTTTCTGGAAAGCTGAAATGAATTTGAATAGCAAATTAAGTCTTTAAAGTTTTGAGAACTTCACTTTACCAGCTGGAAAGAAGTAATTGTTTTGTGGGAATAACAGAAGCTAACAGATTAGTTAACAATTAAAAGTACGCATTTACCTTTTTTAAATTCCAGCAACTTTGTGAAATTTAACTTGTCATCATTGAAATTGTTGAAAAACTGCCCTTTTAAGCATTGAAATGTAGATTTAATCAATACTTTCACTGTTACTGACACCCTTTCATTTTCAGGCATTATTTCACAGTAGCAAGGCTTTTCTTCATTTTTTTCACACTGAGCAGTATTTATTAAACAGTGCTGAAAAGAAGCACAGGTCTCAAAAGTCAACCAATATTACGACAAATTTTGGTCAAAATATTATATATTATAAACAAAATCAAATAAGATAAATAGAATACCTTGTAAGAATTAGTAAGAATAATTTTTTTTTTAAAAATCCATGTATGTATAGTAATGGCTTCAGAAAAAAACAGATATTTCAAAGGAGAGAAACCTTTTTATTAATTCAATACTGTTATGATGTGTTTAAACAGAGTATGTTGGTGCAAACGAATGTTGGTGTGAAAGATATAATAAAAGCATGGAATGATGACTTTGCGCAGAAACTGTTTGCTGTGTGTTGTGTGTGAGTTAGTTCTTGTCTTGATGGTCTTAGTGAAAGGGTAATTATGACCTGTGTGACTCAGTTGGGAGGGTGATTCCATGAGACATCCATATGGATGACAATTTTAAGCAGAATCAATGAGTCCAGTAATAGAATAAATATAGGAAGAACAATCCCATATGTATCTTGTCGATTAATTGTCCCTGTATCATCTAGATGTGTAATGGCATAATGATTGGCTATTGTTGTGGTATCCTTACATGGTAGTGGTATTCTCAAATGGCAATGGATCAAGTTGCTCAACCCCTCACAGTCCCAACACATAACATCATAACTTTATGGTAATAAATAACATAATAACTGCCCAGTTAATTATTTTATTTAAATTAATAGTTTGGCCTTTGATTAAAGATTAGTAGCAGGTCTTATCCTCAAGTGGGAATAGTAACATTTCTGTAGCCATATAAGCTTTGCAACATTTATGTTGTTATCCAAATAGATAGAAATTCTTGGACTAGAAAAGCTTGAATCAATCACTAAAAAATAATAAATAAATACTTGAATACATTATTTACAAAAAATTTAATTAGATTGTCAGCACCATAAATAATATATCCTGACATCATCATTCATAGTACTACCTTGAAATTGTATAGTCAATCACAATCATATTTTCTTATGTTCACCAATTATTTAAAACACTAGTTTTATCTGATGCCATGGTCAAAAATGTGTGACCTGAAAATGACTGGGAGATGGACTACTAGATCTGGTTTATTCAGGTTTTGCACCTAGTTCTCTCAATTTGATTCTGATGAGAGCAAGTAGATGGTTGGTTTAGTGGGCAGAGTAAATTGCATGCTACACAAACAGCTTTGCTATTTCTTGTAAAAGCAGGGCTGTGGCCTACATGAGGCTACATTAGACTAATGGCAGTGGAATTAGATTTGTTAAGTTAAGTGGTTATTGGAACATTTTCTTTTATCCGAATATAATGTGATGGATGTTTTTTTATCATTATAATTATTGTTAAGAAGTAGCAAGAAAAGGTATTTTATTTGCTCTTCTTACATTCCTTCAATTTAAGAGGGCTGGGTGATTTGTGTGTAACATACAATCTTTGAAAAATATTTTATTTTAATAAGAAGTCTTAGATATAAAAGGTTAAACAGGTTATTAAAATAAATTTAGAAATAAGACTTGCCACTAGCAGGTTGCAAAATGTAATATTTAACTGCTTAATAAACTGTACTAATTAATTAAATAGTAATACTCACTGGAGAACATTCCATACAAGGAGAATTACAAATTAAAAATTTCACAGCACTTTGAATTTCATCCATGACACACATTGTACTATGTACCACAATTAAACTATCTTTTGTGACAGGCTCATTATAATGTATACCAGGTGAACTGCAAGGACCATCTAAAAAGAAATTGAAAAAAAAAAAATCAATGATAATTATATTCAGCGATTTTTAAAAAAAATTAAAAGTCATTTTTGACATGTGTGATTTAAGAATATATCTGTGAATGGACTTTCAACTTTGAAAGGGTCGGTTTTATGAGATAGTGCTATTTCAATGAGTGCTATTTCAATACCAAATTCAGACAAAAGTATTGAACATTTAGAGTAATGTACAACTACTAGCACAAAAATTACTAATCTAAATGGAAACCATAGGAAAATAAAAGCAACAAACCTAAAACAGCTAATTTTTCAAGAATGGGTTGTCAAAGCAATAATATAAAACTGACCAATGAAATTGCTTGCTATGTGGAATCATTTATAGAACAAATTGATATATAATATGCTTTATTTTTCTTTATATTTACAACCCAAATTTGCTTCAGTTATTAACCTTAAAACTAAGAACAGGTGTTATTAAAATATGGTGATAACTAAAACAAAAATCTTTATTAAAGACAATTAAAGTGGTTAAAAGAATCAATTCCACGTTAAGGCAAGTTATTTCAGTTTAGTTTAGCCAAACTGAATGAAAATTGTGGTTCTGTAAAATGGTTTCTGGAAAGCTGAAATGAATTTGAATAGCAAATTAAGTTTTTAAAGTTTCGAGAACTTCACTTTACCAGCTGGAAAGAAGTAATTGTTTTGTGGGAAAAACAGAAGCTAACAGAATAGTTAACAATTAAAAGTAAACATTTACCTTTTTTAAATTGCAGCAACTTTGTGAAATTTAACTTGTCATCATCGAAATTGTTGGATAACTGCCCTTTTAAGCATTGAAATGTAGATTTAATCAAAACTTTCACTGTTACTGACACCGTTTCATTTTCAGGCATTATTTCACAGTAGCAAGGCTTTTCTTCATTTTTTTCACACTGAGCAGTATTTACAAAACAGTGCTGAAAAGAAGCACAGGTCTCAAAAGTCAACCAATATTCCACAAATTTTGGTCAAAATATTATATATTAAAAACAAAATCAAATAAGATAAATAGAATACCTTTTAAGAATTAGTAAGAATACATTTTTTTTTTAAATCTATGTATGTATAGTAATGGCTTCAGAAAAAAAACAGATATTTTAAAGGAGAGAAACCTTTTTATTAATTCAATACTGTTATGTGTTTAAACAGAGTATGTTGGTGCAAACGAATGTTGGTGTGAAAGATATAATAAAAGCATGGAATGATGACTTTGCGCAGAAACTGTTTGCTGTGTGGTTTGTGTGAGTTAGTTCTTGTCTTGATAGTCTTAGTGGAAGGGTAATTATGACCTGTGTGACTCAGTTGGGAGGGTGATTCCATGAGACATCCATATGGATGACAATTTTAAGCAGAATCGATGAGTCCAGTAATAGAATAAATATAGGAAGAACAATCCCATATGTATCTTGTCGATTAATTGTCCCTGTATCATCTATATGTGTAATGGCATGATGATTGGCTATTGTTGTGGTATCCTTACATGGTAGTGGTATTCTCAAATGGCAATGAATCAAGTTGTTCAACCCCTCACAGTCCCAACACATAACATCATAACTTTTTGGTAATAAATAATATAATAACTGCCCAGTTAATTATTTTATTTAAATTGATAGTTTGGCCTTTGGTTAAAGATTAGTAGGAGGTCTTATCCTCAAGTGGGAATAGTAACATTTCTGTAGCCATATAAGCTTTGGAACATTCATGTTGTTATCCAAATAGATAGAAATTCTTGGACTAGAAAAGCTTGAATCAATCACTACATGCATACATAACTTGAATACATTATTTACCAAAAATTTAATTAGATTTTCAGCACCATAAATAATATATCCTGACATCATCATTCATAGTACTACCTTGAAATTGTATAGTCAATCACAATCATATTTTGTTATGTTCGCCTATTATTTAAAACACTTGTTTTATCTGATGCCATGGTCAAAAATGTGTGACATGAAAATGACTGGGAGATGGACCACTAAATCTGGTTTATTCAGACTTTGCACCTAGTTCTCTCAATTTCCTTCTGATGAGAGCAAGTAGATGGTTGGTTTTGTGGGCAGTGTAAAGCACATGCTACACAAACAGCTTTGCTATTTCTTGTAAAAGCAGGGCTGTGGCCTACATGAGGTTACATTAGACTAATGGCAGCAGAATTAGATTTTATTTTATATTAAGTAGTTATTAGAGCATTTTCTATTATCTGATACCTGTATATAATTTGTTGGAATATTTTTGTCATTATATTAACATTTAAAAGTAACAAAGGAACTTATTTGATATGTCCTTGACTAATATCGTTAATACCTATTTTAAAAGTACTAGGTAAGGTGTATGTAACATGTACTATTTTACAAATGAAGAAGACATTTATTTTTTTTTAATTTGAAAATTTTCTATTAAGTCTGTGCCTCAATGTTATACATATAAGTAAGTACTTTAAAAATTTTAGTCTGAACAAGGTCATAAAATTAAAATTAGGAACAAGATCATTTGACTTCACCTGAAAGTTTAAAAATATGTTTAAGTACTTGAAAAATTGTATTAAATAATCATACTTACTGAACGACAATGCATACAACTTGAATCGCAAATCAAATATTTTAGAGTTGTATCTATTTCATCTTCATCGAAGAAACAGGGTGTGCTGGTTACTACAATGTAATTATCTTTGATTTCAGGCTCATCATAATTTATATTTGATGCTCTGCATAAAACATCTAATGGGAAAAAAAAAACTTAATGTTCAGAAACATAATTTATTTTTCTAAAAATTGAAGCAGAGTAGTTTTGGCTGATTTTTAATTTAGACTTAGTAATTGATTGACAGATAACACCAACTATAGACAAAGCCAAAGGCATCAGATGAACACTAACAACTAGCCTAGTGGACCTACATCTTGCAGACTACAAAAATCTGCTAGCCAGAATTCAAAAAGATAAGAAAGAAAAACTAAACATTAACATCAGCAAAATTATGAAGCAAAATACATTGGGTCAAGAACCTATTAAAATTAAATAAACAACACATAAGTAGATGAAGTAAATGAAGTAGATGAGAATTAACAACAACTGGAGACCCCAGTGACAATAGACGGAAAACTGGTAAATGATGTGGAAGAGTTTGTCTACCTTGGCAGCAAGATGAGGAAAATGGGAGGCACAGAGGAGGACATACGTGCTAGAATTAATAGAGCCCGCTGCGCTTTCACAGTTCTGCGACCCATATGGATAAGTTCTGCCATCTCCATTACCACAAAACTTAGGATATTTAACTCAAATGTCAAGGCAGTTCTGCTGTATGGAGCAGAGACATGGAGAGTCTCTAAAGCAAGCACAGCAAAGATACAGACCTTCATAATATACAGATTCCTTAGACAGATATTGAAATTGAGATGGCAGGACAAAGTGCCGAACATTGAATTATGGAGGAAAGCAAGGCAGGGGCCTATGTGTGTGTGCACATAAGAAGGAGGAAGTGGCGCTGGGTGGGTCACACACTGACAAAGGCTCATCCAAATGTTACACACCAAGCGCTTGAGTGGAACCCCGAGGGAAATCAGAAGAGCGGGCGCCCAAGACAGACCTGGAGGCAAAGTCTTCTTGAAGAACTGAAGCTAACAGGGATGTCTTGGGAGATGGCAAAATTAATAGACGGGGATCGGAAGAAATGGAAGGAAATGGTGGAGGCCCTATGTTCCATAAGGAGCAAAGAGGATTAAGTCAAGTAAGTAAGTCAAGTTAAAGTTAAGAAGCAAAATACATCGAGTCAAGAACTACATCGCTGAAATTCAAAAAATGCACCTGTAAAGCCAAACAAGTCTTTGCAACCATGCAAAAAACATGATGATCGAAGCTAACCTCCTCCAAGACCAAAAATCAGACTTTTCAAAAGTAATGTCCTTAGTGTCATACTGTATGGGAACCAATGCTAGAAAGTAACAACCCCACCAGCAGATAACTGGACTATTTCCAAACTAAATGCTTGCGAAGGATAAAAGGCAGACGCTGGACTATCACAATCTAAAATAATAGAAGAGATAGAAATGGAAACATTTTTCGAAATAATAAAAAAAAAAGATGGCGATGGATAGGGCACCTTCTAAGAATTAATCCAGATGACATCGCAGGAATGGTGCTAAACTGGGCACCTTAAGGAAAAAGAAAGCAAGGAAGGCCAAGGGAAACATGAAGGTGCAAGGTTGAGAAGCAGCTGGCAGAGGCAGTACTGTCATGGGGGACTACCAGGAAAATTGCCGGTGACCGACAAAAGTGGAGGGAACTTTCTGTGGCAGCCCCATGTGTCTTGGGCACAAAAAAGAAAAGATGATGTAAGTTTTGGCTAAATAGCATGGGAAAGGATTTGTAGCTAATATTAGTGATGATCAAGGAGTTTTTTCTATTATTAGCTTTTATATAATAAAAACCTTTGTTATCGTACATAAACATAAGAAAAGCATATCACTTTTTAAAGAATCCACAATTTACCTAATGAGTAATTCATGGAAGTAAAATTTATATCATAGGCCAACATTTTATGTGTGATATAATTGTTAAAGCTATGCACATGGTAGAAAGTAACTGAAACTGAAAAAAAACTAGAAACACCACTGGACAATTATCACTTTAGACTTTAGTACCTTTCACAATCCCATCTGTATTTGTTGCTCTCGCCAACACATCATCTGATGGAAGAATTTAAAAAGTTGTCTATTAGTTATGATCTTTCAACAATACAGACTGAACATTTTACAGAAATACACCCCAATATTGTTTTTTTTTTTAAACTAAGATGAAAAATTTGTTTTTTAAAAATGTCTTTATTTTTGCTATCAACTGAGCATCTAGATTGAAGTAATGTGCACTAATAATACCAAATATGGTAATATGGTATTTTTAAACCAAACCCTTTGTCCTGTAACTATGACATAATTTGTATCACATTTCCATCTTTGTCATATTTTAAAGAGCGATATATAATTATAACCTAACTTGTGCCAATAAAAGCGACCACCTGTCTACTACGCTTTCATTAACAGTGTAGTGAGTAAATAAATGAAGTGAACATTTGATGCATATCCCCTTCTCCCTACACCTATGCAAGCATCTTTAGTGAGCTGAATTCTAAAATATACATACTTTATAAAACTATTCTCATTCTCTTTTATTATGATTTCATACATTTGTCATTTAGAAATACATTTGTCTTATCCAAAAACAGGATGCAAACACAACAGGGGTTGCATTTTTAGGACTCGAACAGATCAATAGAATTTCAATTAATTTCACTGGAGTAAATTACTTTAAGATACAAGCTTTTTGACAGGCAAGCAAGGTTGTGGAACTAATTAAATTTGTATCTTGTACACAAGAAGCCAAAATTCACTAACATAGGTTGGAACTTGTGATAGTGCAACCACAGATTTCTTCTGATCTTTGTAAATATTTTGCATGAAATTGCACACTTTTTAAAATAAATAGTTATTATTCAATAAGGTCTGTTAGGTAATAGTTTCATATTAGTCCTCACTAAAGACTAATGAAAGTCTAAAATGAGGGTCAGTTTGCTAGTTAAATGGAAATAGCTACTCATATATTGTAACATGTGTTTATGTTTAATATAGTAAGTAGTAAAGTAACCATGCAAACTTAAAGGCCCAAGAAGCAGATGAAGTAGATTTCACCTGTTTCTGTGATCTATTCATGAAAAGGATAGTATGGTCACCACTATACCCAACTGCTTTTTCTTTTCCTTACTTGAGTTAGATAACTACCTGATCTGAGTAGACTCAGAGACATCCTATATATAGAACCGAGGGAAATTCTTTAGACTTGAACCATGATTCGAACTTTCAGGCTACTCATATTATTTGTGCTAATATTTGACCATTGTTTCATAAATTAAACTGTCATAACTAATATTGTAAAGACTAAAGCTATTGCTTACATTTTTTGGACATGTTATGTTATTTCATTTATGTTTATTATGCCTTTTGAATTTTATTTTTATGACTTTGATCTATTGTGTGGTTTTTTAGATAGATAGAATAAAGCTAGCCCCTACCCTCTCTAAAAATGCTACTTTCATTAGATATAGTAAATTGATTAATTTTGATATCACAATTTACAAAAAAAAATATTTTTAAAATGCAAACATCCAAATTACATTATGAAATAACTTTTAAAATACACCATTCATTGTGATGTAACAATTTCTTTACCTCCAACCCCCTTCACCCTCATCAGAGAAGTCTGACACCATATGTAAAGAGGTATATTTTAAATGCCCAATGTTTGCATAAGTGAGAAGGCCTAACATCATTTGATGATGTATGCGTGTGTGTTTGTGTGTGTGATTCGACATTTTAATGGCAGCTTTATTTTGTTATACATTGTAGATATTGTGAAATGTATGGATAGTTTGATATTACTTTATTGTAACTTAAGTAACCTAAATTTAGTAACTTGTAAATCTACATGGATCTAGACTCTAGAGATGGTACATATTTCATGTTATGAATATTTTATTTATAATTCTCTGGAATTTATTTTTTCATTCCACCTACAATTGTTACTTTTTTTTAAGCAACAAAACTGGCAAACATGCATAAACTGCCAACAAAACAATCGATAATATTTGCTCCATAGAAAGTTGAGGAAAATTGCCCCTTAAAGTAGTTCTAGAATGATGGCATAGTGTTAAGCCATCAATTAGGTTAAGAATGAATAAAGAAAAATAACTCCCAGTTTAACTGATGTATTGAAAATGAAACTTACCAATGAATGGCATTACAAGTAGCAATAGGCCAAACTTGAAATAATTACTTAATCCATAACTTATCATTTTGACAAAGTTCACTTCCTATCATCTAGTAGATCTTAAGGTTGATCTGAAATGCAGAAAAAAATGCTTAATGTCTGTGTAGTTTAAACAATATTTGTTTTAAAAAAGCTGTAAAATAATTTTCAAATTATATTTTCAAATCTAGTCTAACCCTTTGACAAATGTGTTAATATTGAAAAACTTAGTAAAAATTTTCAAATACATCTCACACATTGTAAAAGTAATGACCAAAAGTGAATTTTTGATCAACTAGTTTAAGTTATTATATACTATCATAAAAAATAATAGAAATAATATGAATTTCCCTCAAGATCTAGATCTAGTACATGGAGTTATATGTAGAATGTCATAATAAAGACAAATTTTGCAATATAAATTGTCTTTTAGCTACTGAATTGTTTGAGATAAGTCTTCACATGCTCTGTGAAACTAGCTAGCACATAAAAAAAAAGATATGGTCCAAAAGTGGAATTTTGACTTAAGTTAACAACCAAATATATTACTTTAGTATTTTTCCCTTGAAATTTTAAATTTGTCCAAAACAAATCCCAATTAGCTATGAGTGTTATTTTTTTTCTGAATTTAATACCTGACTTTAAAACGTGTTTTACAATTTACATTTATACTGGGCAGAACATACAGAATATGCATAAAATTAAGAGATATAAAAAAAGGGGTACTATCCTTGTAATCAGTGGCGTAGCTAGAATTTTCGGGCCCCTATGCAAAAATTATTAGTGGGCCCCTTTGTCAGCCGTTAGGCTACAACAGAGTTAAACGAAGAAATCAACTGCTTATTACGATGTAGGATTTTAAATAATATAAATATTCTGTGTATTTGTGATACATCTTGATTGTTTTTATCGTATATTATTATGTAGGCCTACTGTCCCGTAGTTTTGTAATAATGTTACAGGCTTACAGTTAATTTTTTTTTTTAAGTAACCAATCACAGTAGCGTCACAAGGTGGGTGCAGAGCGAGGTCCGCATCGGATGACAACCTTAAGGCGTGACACCAAGACGAAACATTGTAAAATTTACTCTCAAAACTATGTTGTATCCAGCTAAAATAAGTGAGAGGGGGTGACACCCCACGAAGTGCAAAGTTGTTAGGGGCTATTGGGTGACACCTTTAGTAAATAAGTAGGGTAACCGACCACCAACCAAGCACAATATTTTAAAAATTGCTCAAGATTTATTTAGATCTGGATTTTTACTTTCTCGTATATGCGAAGTATAGAGAAAGTCTTGTAATCGTGCAAAAAAAAAAATCGAGATTTTTACAAATCTCGACGTTTTAGACAACACTGATACGGAAAAACATAATTTTGCAATCTTGTCCGTATGTTTTGCACGATTACAAGACTTTCTCTATACTTCGTATTTACGAGAAAGTAAAAATATTTAATCTTTCAGAGAGTATATATTTTTACTTGTTTTTGTTTTTATTAAAAAGAAATATTTATTCTTTCAAAGAGAACAAATATTTTCAATAAGATTTAATTATTATCAAAGACAAATCATCTTTCGATAAGATCAAACAATCTAGTTTTCTTCATTTTATCAAAGAGAATTATTTAAACTCTCACGGTGATTAAACTTATTTTTTGTGTGTTTATTTCTTACAGAAGGTTAACAGTTCTGCTGGTGTTGTTGTTTGCTCTTGTGCCTGCGAGTGTACGCTGCTGTAAGAAGTTTGATCAACCAAATACTGTCTTCAAAGACTTGATATATGCCTAAAGCAATGTCGAGAAAATGTGAAGAAATAAGTCCAGATTGTGTAACCAAATGAATGTGCCGATTGTGTGACCAAATGAATGTCCAGATTGTGTGACCAAATGAATGTCCAGATTGTGTGACCAAATAAATGTCCAGATTGTGTGAACAAAAAGAATGTCCAGATTGTGTGACCAAATGAATGTCCAGATTGTGTGACAAAATGAATGTCCAGATTGTGTGACCTAACGAATGTCCAGATTGTGTGACCAAATGAATGTCCAGATTGTGTGACCAAATGAATGTCCAGATTGTGTGACCTAACGAATGTCCAGATTGTGTGACCAAATGAATGTCCAGATTGTGTGACCAAATGAATGTCCAGATTATGTGACCAAATGAATGTCCAGATTGTATGACCAAATGAATGTCCAGATTATGTGACCAAATGAATGTCCAGATTGTGTGACCAAATGAATGTCCAGATTGTGTGACCTTAAAAATGTCCAGATTGTGTGCCCAAATGATTGTCCAGATTGTGGGACCAAACGAATGTCCATATTGTGTGGTCTAAGAAGTGTACTTTATACGTAAACAGACAATCACGCCATGTAATGATTGCAGAGACCGAGTACGACAGTCATTGTTTTCTTCTTCCACCTCTTCCCCCTTCACCATTACACTCCAACCCTCCGTTTTATATTGTTACGTTTTCAACACAACCCAAATCATTCTCAATGACTCAAGGTGACTTAATTTAGAGTCAACAAGATCTGATGGTATCTACGGGGTTACATAGATGACGGAAGTGCTATGTACACCATCGTTTAACAAACGACATAGTGGCATGCTAAGGGTTAATGTAAAAACTGTTTTGGGTACGAAACAGTAGCGTGCTAAGGGTTAAGGTATTGTAAAAACTTGTATCGTACAAACTATAGTAGCATGCGAAGAGTTAATGTAAAAACCTGTTTGGGTTATGCGATTAAGCATACAAAGTGTTAATAATTGTAAAATATGTTTTCTTACGCCATAGCGGCGCGCTAAGGGTTAATGTAAAACTCGCGTGGGTGTGCCATTGCGGCATGTAAAGGGTTAAAGTAAAACATGAATGGATAGGACAAAGTTAATGTAAAACCTATGTGAATCTGTAATAGGGGCGTAAAGGGCTAATGTAAAACCTGTATGGCTACAAATATCGGCGTGTAATGGCTATTGTAAAACATATATGGGTACGCTGTAGGGCTATTGTAAAACCTGTAAGGGTACGCTATAGGGGCGTAAAGGGATAATGTAAAACCTGTAGGGGTACGCTATAGGTACTCACGTGAAAGACGACCGTGTTGTTATGGGCCATCCAAAATTTGTGGTAAAAAAATAATCCTCTAGAGCAACAGTGGAGGATGTGAGCCAACAACAGACACTAGGGCAAAACTTCCTGCTTACACACTGCTCATTTACACACTTAGAAGGTTGGCGTGGGTACACACACCACTCATCTGGTATACACAGATTAGTGCCATGGTTCTCAACTAAAGGTCTTTGATGGGGCACGTGTGAATATTGCTAGACATCCAAGCAAAGATTTTAGGGGATAAGGAGAAAAGGAAATTAAACGACTAAAGATTTTTAATATCGGTTTAATTGTTTCTAAATTAACGGATTAAGAGACACACCTAATGGTATTACTTAAAGAGATCATAGGGTCAATGGAGACATATTTTAGAACCCTTGGTCTAGTGGCTTTCGAAACATTGAGCCAGTCACTTGACGTGTGTCAAATGTTTAACAACGTCGTGCCTTGACTGCTCACTGCTGTCATTATATGGGGAGATGGTGGTGTGTCAGTGGTCACACAGTGTGTGTGTGTGAGTGGTCACAGTCTGTGTAAGTGGGCCACACAGTGTGTGTGTGAGTGGTCACAGTCTGTTTGAGTGGGTCACACAGTGTGTGTGTGAGTGGTCACACAGTGTGTGTGTGAGTGGTCACAGTCTGTGTGAGTGGGTCACACAGTGTGTGTGTGTGAGTGGTCACACTGTTTGTAAGTGGTCACAGTCTGTGTAGAGATGCCTGGAAGAAACTCTGGTGAGAAAGAGTGTGTGTGTGAGTGGTCACACAGTGCGTGTGTGAGTGGTCACAGTCTGTGTGAGTGGGTCACACAGTGTGTGTGTGTGTGTAAGTGGTCGCACTGTTTGTAAGTGGTCACAGTCTGTGTAGAGATGCCTGGAAGAAACTCTCGTGAGAAAGAGTGTGTGTATGTGTGTGTTTGTGTGTGTGTGCATGTGTTAGTATATACGAGAATGTAACCGTGTGCGTGAGCTAGTGTGTGTCGGCATTATGTAAGTGTGTGAGTGTGTTGGCAGAAGTGAGTGCATGTGTGAGTGTACATGTATGAGTATGCGCTAGAGTAAGTGAATACTTGACGTGTAATGCATCCACAAGTGAACTTATGGTTCAGATTTCTATTTTAAAATACGTAGTATTCCAAACCTTTTTTACTTTCTCGTATATACGAAGTATAGAGAAAGTCTTGCAATCGTGCAAAAAAAATCGAGATTTTTGCAAATCTCGACATTTTACGCCTCACTGAATCGGAAAAACATAATTTTGCAATCTTGTCTGTGTGTATGTCTGTGTGTTTGTGTGTGTGTGTGTGTCTGTAAACACGATTACATGAGTACCGTTACAGCTAGGTTGATGAAATTTCATATATGAGTATTTATCAAAATCGTAGATCCCTATCAACTTTTGAGCTATTTCCGATAACCGGAAGTGGTACTTTTTCTACTTTGAATTTTTCGAAGGTCTATAACTTGAGTACTATTTCAGATAGATACATAAATTTCACATGTTAGTTAAAGTTCTAATTATCTACCTTCTGTCAAATTTTGAGTAATTTCTGTTGACCGAAAGTACTAATTTACGCTATTTCCAATTTCTCAAACTCTAATGTAAATTTATCAAGTACTAATAATATTCCGCACTATTAATACTATTATGCCCATTTTATTTCGCATTCACTGGTGTGCAATTATTTTTTCTACGAGATTTTCTTCTATTTTAAAAAGTTAGGAATTTAAAATGGATTAAAATTCATGTCTATATCCCGAATCCCATCCCTGTGTTTTGTATATAAGAATATTCGAGAAAGTTTAGGGGAGATCACTCCCGGTTTATTTTTCATGCTTTTAACTTTGCAAAATGATTACTTGATATCCATGTTAGCTGCTTCTGTATGTTCTATGCTTAAGGTGGCCAAGTTACTGACCCAATGGGCATTTCTACAATTTGATTCGTAACAAATTAACAGCATCATAATAAATAAATAATGAGATTGAAAAGTTCCATCATAGACATCAAAATCTCCTTTCCGATCACATGGGAATGTTAAAGGATGTTTATCTGTAGCTAGCATACCCGTCCGCGTTGCTGCGATTTAGTCCCACATACCAGGGTAATGAAACAATTTGTAAGGATTTCAACGCATTAATAATTTTGTATTTTAGTCGTGTGACCTGAGATAGTTGAAATGTAAACAACGCCACTGCTATTTTTTTTCGGATCTTTGTTGCTGGGGGCTGATTTGTCCATACTATTGCCCAGACGCCATTGGGCCTGCTATATGAAAGCATTGAGTGTACGTTAATGATATTCCGTAATAGTGAGGTTGAAAACCTTTTGCCGACCATCAAGGGACGTCCCGAGAGCTACCTGTTACACTAGGTAGCCGGATGCAGCCCCTGGTTCGGTTTAATCATCGAACGCAGAGGCCCACAGTGTCCCTAGTCTAGGGTGCTCTTGGTGTCATCCGTCGAAAGCCGCCCCTCTTGCAGTTTGATCGTTGGATAAGTAGTACCCGTTTAGGACGCGCAATCAACGGAGCCCTTGCACTCAAGTAGCCGCTGGCTATCTCTGGGCGCTCGATGACACCCCTTATTCGATTTAGTAATCGATTTTAGTAGCCCTCCGCATCACAGTGTATGGCGCTCATTTAAATGAATATAGTCGCATCAGACTACACGACCGCCGGGGCATCGGATGATGCGCCTGTGCAATTTGACCGCGGAATTAAGTAGTAACGCTGACCAGCTGCGCCGGACACCTAATCAACGGGCCCCAGGTGCAAAGATAGCCGCTTGGAAAACCTAGGTGGCATACCGCACAGCATTACTGCCCGGGCGGCGCTTTCCGAAAAAAAAAATGTAATGCTAGAAACCTTCCCTAATGTCAGAGTTTCTTTCAGGCCACTTTTCAGAAAAAAAAACTGCCTGGAGTATTCTCAACAACATCCCAAAGTTTATTGGCGATTAGATGAAAACCAAAAACGTATAGTGTTAGTAGCGCCATATTGATTAAAGATTAATTAGACCAAAAAATAAAATTATATTAAGGTAAAAATTTGTAGAAAAACATTGGCATGTGTTAGACTTATGTTGTTGTTGTTTATAAAAATGGCTCAATTGTTATCATGGATGTTTAGCAGGTTGGAATTTCGGGGAGGGCTGACAGATAGGAGGGAGTTGTAGGTAATGTCCAAGTAAGTTGAGGTTTGTTGTGATACATGTAAATTTACCGGGTGCCAATCTCACAAAAGAGTCAAAGTTCAATTTATTTATAGGCTAATTATCTCAATGGCTTGCCCCTACAATACAACAACGCCTGTAGTGTTTTTTTTATTACAGATGGGCCATATTCTACCCCCCCCCCCCCCCCTCCAGTGTATGCCACTGCCTGTACAGTAAAAAGGACTGGGGGCCTTTTGGAAACTTTAATTATTTCTAGAGTAGAAAAGAAACTGTATTTCCATTTTCTTTTAAAAATTGTTTACATAAAACAAATATAAAAAAATGTCAATGTAAATGTTTTAATTTTTTAAGAGGGAAAAGGGCCCCTTTTTGCCTTGGGCCTCTCTGCCTTGCTTACGCTAGCTTTACTGCTTGTAATACTTATAGTAAATCAGAGAAACTTACCCTAGATTTTTTTTCATTGCCTTACACATAAATAATTTCTATTTTATTTTGTGACGCCAATTTAGGGGGGGGGGAGGGTCTGGATTTTTGTGGCGACGTGTGACGGAGGGGAGGGGGGGGGGGGAGGTAAAAATCGTCAAAAAAGCGGGACATCATTTATGATTATGGATGACCCCTAAATATTGTGTCACCCGGTGAGGTCCACGCCCCCCGCCTCGCCCTCGCTACGCCTCTGGTCATTTTTACCTCTATGGCGAATATAAAATGTCCACTTAAGAAGTAGTCTACTTTTTTTCGTTGACCAAATTTAATTCCGTTGATAAATAGGGGCCTACACACAAAATGTTGAAGTTGTAATATTTTTTATAGATATTTAGTAGAATGGAATTTCGGAGAGGGCAGACAGTATGACGTTCGGGCGTCGGTGTGAGGGGTAAGGGTTAGGAAATTTCCCAGTCAGTTCAGGCTTGTTGTAGCGATGAGTGTAAATTTACGAGGGCAGCATGCCGTATCCCACAAAAAAAGATTAAGTTCAAGTTTATTTTATAGAAGATTATTCACTCCCACTTTATTATTAGGCCTAATTAATGATCTTTTTCATTTAAAAAAAAATCGGTAAAAACCAATTTTATTATTATTAGCCTACATTCATAGTTCAAGAAGAGGGAATTCCCGATATAAAATTTAAATGGTCCAATAAACGAAGAGACAACGCAAAGCAAACGGCTTTTAAGTCCCTAGCTTAGATTTTAAATATCCGCCATTTTGGTGGTAAATACAATTATTACAATCATCAATCATGTCATCAAATGGTCATAATGATACTGATTACATAGACTTAGTTATGTAAGTATTATCAATAAGAACTCAGAATTCATATTATAAGATTAACAATAAGTAATAAGAATAACATGTTTTACTATTACTATTAATTAGATCTACTAAGGTTAGACGGTAATCTATCGCTTTAGCGTAATCAATTCGGCCGTCACTAGTAATGTAGGGATAAGGTAACTAATAAATATGGCTTAAATATGGATATATTTTTGCATATTTTACTAATATACTAAAGATAATTGAATATTAAACCACATTTAAGGTTTAAATCAATAAAAATGTCAGGAAATTAAAGTTTAACAACGATGTTACACATACTAAATTTGCTATTAAAAACAGCGGCCATCTTAAGAAAATATTATTTTGAGTCATTTCCCTTTAATTTCTATTTGTATGGAAATGTATTGATGTTTGCTGTTAAATAGGTTAGTCTTGTGTTTAAATACAAAGCATGCGTTTTTTTTTTAAATTCTGCCCTTTAAACAATTTAATTGACTGACAATAAACATCAGTTCTATAATTATTATTATGAGATGCCATTTTTATACATTAAGATACTCCCTATTTTTATAGAGCTACCACTACATATCTAATGTTTATTTAAATATTAGTTTGAGTTCATTCTTATTGTTTGTGTTATTGTTTGTTTCCTATTTTCATTTAATATTTTCATGCTTTTTTCCTTTAATTAGTGATTTAATCACAAATGGCGTCCCGTTTTTGACCTCTCTTCACCTTAACCTCCCCCCCACCCCCATTTTTGCCGTCACGAAATAGTCGTAATGTCGAAAATTACCTTTTTGCCATGTCTATTGAAAAGTCAAGCCATAATTCTAATGAAAAATATTTTTAGCATTTTTGTATTCGGCGAAATACATAACGTTTCACGTTTCTTACCCCTCCCACTTCCCGCGTAAAACGTCGTCTCAAAACCAGTTACTCCACCCCTTAAGTGTGCGATCTCATTTAGGGTAGATATCAAGTCCTATATACATTTTGAATAACCTTTGTTGTCAAAATGTTGATACCAAATACCCAAAATGAGTTATATGGTGTTATCCATAAACGATGTCACATATGCTATGCTAATGTGCCGTCAACTTACGCAGGGTGGTCCGGGGGGGGGGGGGGGGATGCGTGACGTCTATTTTGGAATCTTCTTTAAAGCTGTGCTCAATGAAATTGAGGAACATAAAGCGTTCGTTTTCATGCATACATTTGTTCATAACGAATGATCATAACTATTGCATGCCTGTTGTCCTAAGCGGTGTTTAACAACCTGAGCACATCATCCCCGCCAAAAAGGGCCTGCCACTAAATGCCTACCGACGAAAATAAGCCGCACTATATTGACTCCAAATGAAATAACTTCTGACAATAAGGCTCAAACCAAGTAGCTCCTGTCAACAATATTCGACAAGAGTCCAAGACACCATTAAGTGCCGCACCAGGTGACACTCGACCTCGCTACGCCACTGAGCTAATGTAAAGCCACAGCTCAGTATTGGCTTAAATTTAACATAAAATAGTGTTAGCAGTGGACAGCCTCTAAGACTGTGCATTAGGAGTACGGCCGTCGGCAAAACGCCAGAGTCCGACGATATCTGAACATCAATTTTGTCTTTTATGAAGTGCGGAGCACCTTTAAGACCTGAGCTTGGCCCCTGTTGACACCACCACTAGCGCCACTTATGTCCACATATTAATCACACGTTTTGCGTGGAGCTTAATGGACAGACGTTTATAGGTGGGACCGGGAGCCTAAATGCATTTACCGAAGCCGCTGTGTCACGGGCATTTTAGAGCCGAACATCTCAGGGCAGCATGTTGCAGAAATTAAAAGCACGTGAATTTGTATAGTAGAGGGAGAACATCATGCCACTGTAATAAATTAAACACCAATATAATTCACCGAACTAAAGTCATTTAGATCTATTCGTCAGGCTAAATGTCGCTAGTCTCATCGTCATAGTCATTTAGTGCCTGTTTTGATTTTTTTTAATTACGCGGTATCTCTTTCTTAAACATTAGCCTAATGACAAATGACGTCACACGCGCCGCGAACTTTGTGA